GGCAGGCCAGTGGCAGACTGGCAGTAACCTAACGTCTTTGTAGTCCACTACAGGAAGGTGACATTGGCCAGTAATATGATGTCTGAATGCGGTATTTTTCAAAATCACTTGCGTTCTTGAACCTTGGCAGAGGACCAGCTCAGCAGTTGGGACCTTCCGGACTGGGACTGGGTACATGTACACTGACACAGCGTCGTCTTCCTTGCAGATCTGCGAGATCGATTCCGCCTACCAATAGTATTCTACTATTCATCACTGCATGCTGCTTACTGGTCAAGTAGTCTGTGCTAAACGGACTCTGTATGTGTCATGGGCCATGTGCGTGGATGGACAGTGGACATGATTGGATCAAACCCGGCCGGCTTAGCACAGCTGCCTGCAGCGTGTGTGGTTCAAAGCAGTGAGGCCCAATCAATCGGGCAAATGACAATGACAAGCGCATACATGCACAGTACTGACAAGCACTGCCCATGCCCTCAGTTGGACTCTCTCTCTCTCTCTGACGTTCAGCCCAAGGCCTGCCCACCCTCAACACCCACTTGAAACACTGCACTGGCTCGTGGCCATGTGTTGGAGCTATGCCAGCTCACCTGTCACATAACTTGACAGATTGACTGCCTTGGGTATTTGTCTTTGACAGCTTTGAGGAGCAAGATGTTCCAACGTTGGAGTGCATACATGTACATGGCCGTTCGTGTACTGGTGATCAGGCGCCAAATCCTGAGCTCATCCAAGTAAAATATTTGATTTTGAAACGCTTGTTGCAAGCACGTCGTAACAAAACGATCATAGGGCACTAGAGTGTACTAGTGCTAGCAGTAGCAATTATACCTCTGGCTGTAGTGTTGTGCAAAAAATTCAGATCAACTTACTATGGACTCGCTTGTTTTCTTGGCTCTCTCTCTCTCTCTCTCTCTCTCTCTCTCTCTCTCTCTCTCTCTCTCTCTCTCTCTCTCTCTCTCTCTCTCTCTCTCTCTATCTATCTATCTATCTCACCGTCTCTCTCCTCTCCTCTCTCTCTCTCTCTCTCTCTCTCTCTCTCTCTCTCTCTCTCTCTCTCTCTCTCTCTCTCTCTCTCTCTCTCTCTCTCTCTCTCTCTCTCTCTCTCTCTCTCTCTCTCTCTCTCTCTCTCTCTCTCTCCTCTCTCTCTCTCTCTCTCTCTCTCTCTCTCTCTCTCTCTCTCTCTCTCTCTCTCTCTCTCTCTCTCTCTCTCTCTCTCTCTCTCTCTCTCTCTCTCTCTCTCTCTCTCTCTCTCTCTCTCTCTCTCTCTCTCTCTCTCTCTCTCTCTCTCTCTCTCTCTCTCTCTCTCTCTCTCTCTCTCTCTCTCTCTCTCTCTCTCTCTCTCTCTCTCTCTCTCTCTCTCTCTCTCTCTCTCTCTCTCTCTCTCTCTCTCTCTCTCTCTCTCTCTCTCTCTCTCTTCACACTCTCATGTGATAATAATTATTATGTCTTTCTTTTCTTCGTCATGTTGTGAGAGCTTGGAAAGTTAACTTGTCCAGGCGAGCAGGCGGCAACTATCTGTACATTCTCGGGAGAGAAAATAAAAAATATACCAACTAACCAACCACCTACTTCTACTGTACTAGTAGACCCAGGTGCTCGAATTACGACCACTTTTACAGTATGACTGTGTTTGCTGAGCTGAAACTCACACTAGCAATGGTCACTTGCCAGGATTCTACTCGTGGATGGAAGGTACATGTATCTTGTCCAAGTTTGTTTTGAGGTCAGTCTCGATTGAACCAGGCCATCTTTCGATCCGATCTGTTTCTCTGGAGTTCGCTGATTTTCATATGAAATTTGTTGTCGCAGAGGGTGCTCTAAGTCAGTACAGCTCAGAGTTGACTCGAAATACACACATACATGTATTTCTGCTAATTGCTAACTTGCTATCCCTGGGTTACGATGAAAGTTAGTACCGAAGCGATACGTTTGGCATGTGCCTCCACCAGTATTCCTTGCAAAAGCGTAGTTTGTTGCCGAAAGGCAAGCTGTTTTTTGTCGGCTCAGAGAAGAAGCAGCTGCCCTGTGAAAACCGTGGGAAAACAGTAAAAATGGGAAAACACTGGTGGAGATGCCAAGAGTGTCAACCTTTCTGCAAGTAGGGTCCGGAGGATTCTGCCGCCAGAAAAATTGGCAGAATTCGGTACTTTTTCTGGTAAGTTTCATGCATGTTTGGTATGTGGATAAAAAAATGGAGCAGAATTCGAGGAATTGCCCGGCGCCCGCCATAAGGCTTGTATGGTTTTGCCAATTTCACTGCTTTTCGGGCAGAATCTGCCACCTTTTCGAGCAGAATCCGCCGATCCCCTATCTGCAAGGATTGGTGATCCTGTGTAATTTTTCTGCTCTGGCCATTCTCAGCTCTAAGTTGGCTTTTTCTAATGTTCCAAAGGTAAGGTTCAGAAGAGATTCTCAGAAAAGCGTTCAGAAAAACAACGTCAACGGCGATAACAGCAACAACAACAACAACAGCAGCGGAAGCAGCAGCAACAGCGATAGCGGCGGCGGTGGCGCAACAACAACAATCACATTATTATACATGTACATGTGTACAATCATGTACATGTACATGTACATGTACATGTATATGTACATGCAGATATAATTATATAAGCGACGAAGCGACAATAGTTTTAGATATTTCGATAAACAGAACGAGCTGAACAGTGATTTCAGAAAGATTTTATTGTGTTCAAAACGAGTCGATACGAGTGGATAGTGGATAGTGTACAATAAAGCCTTTGTGAAATGACTGTTCAGCTCGTTCTGTTTTTCGCGATTCTAGCATACTGGTATTAGTTTAGTCCCACAACCTGCGATAAATGATCAGCTGTAGCACCTACTCCACTTTTATGTTTATGTATCTATGTCATTCGGATCTTCCCAAGTTGTACATTGTAGTATTTGTACTGTTGAGATACCGAATTCAAATAAATCAATACCAATACCAATACCAAAACACTATACAGTAGATACCATGGATACAGTATGACTATGACATACATGTACATGTACATGTACATGTATGTCGATGAGACTCAGTTACGAATACGAGTCAGTAGATACTAGATACAGTCATGTAGACCTACATTGTACATGTACATTACTACATAGTACATGTACTTCAGTACACTAGCGCTGACTGTATAAAATAATACGTATCTAATATTGACTGAGTACGAGGTCAATATAGGAAATAAAAGCCGAGTAAAAGACCGAGGCGAAGCCGAGGTCTTTTACGAGGTTTTTATTGGTTGGTTGGTTGGTTGGTTGGTTGGATTTATTTAAAGTCGTACAACAAACAGGCATATCTGCCTCCTTATAAGTTATATGAAGACGACTTCTGGCAGTAAAACATTTTAAAGAAAAGAGAAAGGAAAAAAAATTTCCTATAGTATTGACCAAGTACGCGTATACGAAGTTGTTGTTGTTACTTTATTTTACTTCACCAGAATTACAGGCAGTAGAATGCCTTCTCACTAGACCAGGTCTAGTTCTCACAAATGATGAAGAATGTGAAAGTCAATATTAGATTTATCACGACAAACAGTCCGTATTTCAAATTCCAGAACGATAACCTCATGAATCCCGGTTTTATGATTGCACAACCGTTGCACCACCACCTACTCATGCAGTGACAATGCTGCACTAGGCACCGTTCAACTGCGCAACCCCTAAGCAGTCAAAATTATTATAAGCAGTCAATATAGCCCTAAGGAGTGAAATATGCAGGAATATTTGACTGCATACATGTAGGTATAGCGAAAATCAATGGGAGTCGGAGTGATAAAATCATGTACATGTATCTACATCATGACCTCTACCTGGTCCTTGTCTGCTAGTGCTACTACTACGTGCACGCGTGTACACGGTGTAGCTAGCCGTGTTTCACTGCACTCACGTGAACCGAGAGAATGAATGCACGACACGTGCCTAACACGTCGACATGACATGGAAGCAAGACTGATTCGCCCTTATTCGGCCCTACGACTTGTTTCACCCCTCAGGGATTTAGCAAAATCGAACTCAATGCCAGATTCCTCCCCTTAAACTGGGATAAAGACCACATGTCTGGATAAAATTCCTTGAAAGCACCCGGCTTACTCCTTGAAAGCACCCGGTTTACGCATGCCAATTCAGTAACTACGACAAAAAGTGCGATCAGGCAGCCCATGGAGCTGTCACCGAAGCGAGAAGCGAGGGAAACCGAGGGAGAGACTTGAGAGTTGAGTAGAGTGGTCGTTGACTGCATGCTGCCTTTTGCGCTTGCACTTGCCCGCGGACGAGTGGCGTTTCTCTCCACGCACTTCAGTGCAGTCCTGCGTGCCGTGCACCAAGTGACCAAATGCTGGATTCTGCTCGTCTGGTCGGGTGTGCTTCTTGTTCGTGCTACCCTGTTGCCCGTCTGTGAGCAGTTATCGATTTTACAATGCCCTCTCGTGTATAGTCAGCAGAGGCTTGCAGCTTCACGCTGGCTTCGCTGACTTTTTTCCAAACCCCAAACGGTCATTGAGCTGCACCCAGTGTGCATTTTCGTACCATTGCAAGTGCAAATCGAGCTCTAGCAGCACGTCAGGTAGTCACCACTCGCCATGGCCGAAAATCAACTTTCGATCACTGAGGATTCCGAGGATGCTCTGTTAGGCAGTGTTGGGAGCGAAGATGACCTGGCCGCTGACTGCGAGTCGCCACAAGGCGTTCATAAGCGAGGAACTCTGTCCAAATGGACAAATTTCTTCCATGGCTGGCAGAATCGCTACGTCGTGCTTAGCAATGGAACGTTGTCTTACTATCGATCAGAGTTCGACACGACGTTCGGCTGCAGAGGTTCAATGAGTCTGGGAATGGCACGGATTGAGGTAAGCACGAACCGTGTTATTTGCAAATTATGCGCAAATTCCGTAATCCAATCACGCACTCGTCCCTTTCTCCATCATTCATTTTTCGTATTTTCACTTTGCTATTTTCTGCTACACAGGCGCATGAGTATGATCCACTCCGCTTCGACGTCGCCGTCAACGATTCCGTGTACTATTTGCGGTGTGGCACGCTGGAGGAACGCCAAGAATGGCTGGAGCTGGTGAAACAAGCTAAAGTAAGTTTGTAGCCAACTTGTGAACAAGATACGATTCGCTGCGCAAAATGGGAGTGAGATCGAAATTTCAAGGGCTGATGTGATACTTTCTAATAGAATAGTGGCAGTTGTTTGTAGCTGTAGCTTTGTCTGTACTCTAAACATGGCTCGGTTGTCCGTAATTGTAACTCGCTGGTGTAAAATTCGTGTGTCAAGAAGCCTTGTATTCATAACAATTGCTGTGTGTGTTTGGGAAATAGTCCAAATTGATTTCAGCGCAAGGAAGTGATGACTGATGTGTCAAGACGTTGCCAGTTTTAGTGCCATTCTGCGAATCCAATTTGTATTTCGAGTACGAATATGCTAGGAATGACTAATGTCGCCGGGACACGAGGAGTGAATGGATGAGGAATGATCGTCTGTGAAATGCTGCTTCGCCTGGTGTGTGAATGTGATTCTCGATGTTGGCACTGCCACTGGCATTGCATGTACAATCTCAATGGACGTTCGAATTAATATTTGGAGCTTGGTCCTCCCGACTTGTCGTTCTTGCAGTGGTGTGTAGCGTGTTGTACTATTTTGCATGTTTGTGTGATGTAGGAAATGTCAACTATTCTAAATTCTGCGTATGATGTTGGAATTCTAGAACTATTTTATCTCCCCCATTCCACCTCTCTCCGTTTATCCCCATTTTCGTTCGGCCTGAGCCAGCGGTAACGATCTATTCTAGTCACCGCTTCTGCCGCCTCGCCACGTGCTGTGGGGGTGCCTTGGTGCGCTGCAGAGTCTGCGTTGGACTACAGTCCAAAGATAGTTGCTACGTCGGAGGAGATGAAAGCGAGATGAGACAGTGGATTTGCAGTCACATAGGTGACAGCCAATGAGGCATGTGCCTCCTGACATTGTTGAATATCGGCTTTGCTGGTCTCTTTTAGAAAATAATTGTTTACACTTTGGTGCACGTTTCAAAGATAGTATGGGTGGGAGACGAATTGTTATCTCCCGATTCAGAGCTCCACTTCGCGCTTGTACAAACTATGGGTGCGTTCTGCAGTGTTTGTGCTGCTGGTAAAATCATGATAAGCGCTCATTCCGTGCTTAGAATGACGTGCAGAGGATTTCATGTCGCTCCAACTCTAAGCCTAGGCTAAGGTGAACTCAAAAGGTGCGTCCGTTTAGTTTCTAGTAGTCGCAGATGTAGTATTACTAATACTAGTACGGTCATGTAGTTGGTTAGAACGACGTGCTTTCCTGTCCCGCTCAAGCACAGGACTGCTCCATAGCAGACCAGCTGTCTTGAAGTGTTGCAAAAAAACTCAGCCCTCTTCCTGGAGAGGGCTATCCTAAACTGGCTAAAGCACCATGCTGGCAATTCAATGACCTTCACTACGCGACCACGATTGACGACCACACGCTCGCCTCGTGAAACCACGTAACGGCCACTTGCATGCAATTGCACTGATCTTGTTTTTCACCTGCTGCCCTCAGGTGTGCAGCAGCTTTCGCGAAGCTTCGCCTTGAACCGTCCCTACTTCTGGGCCACGCACTAGATGGTTCTCTCTCTCGAGTGTGTCCGCTACGCCGATTGAGTGCTTATCAGAAACGCATTGCAGCGCTGCGCAGAGTACACGATTTCTGTGTGAATGGTTCCAGCGAAGTAATGAAACTAATGGACTTCGCACAATGTAGGTACATCGCCCAGAACCCCGGTCACCGGTTGCTGCTTCCTGAGCGAATCACGCTTGCCCGGTGTCAAGTAAACTAGAGTTGGGAGTTCACAGTTCGATTGCTTCTCTGGGCGCGAACGACCTCGTGAAATCAAAAAATCAGAAGATGAAAAATTATCGACGAGCTGACCCTTGAGGCCGGGTGCACGAGAGTGTCGTCTGTCAAAAGTGTGCCATGATTGTACCTTCAACTGGCGCTGGTGGCAGTGCTCATTCGTTGGTATCGTGTATCTCTCCGTGCTCTGTGGAGATCAGTGTAGACTGTAGTGTAGTGTTGACGCGCACTGGCCGTCGACATCGTACACACTGCTATCAGTATCAATGTCAATGAGATAGGATAGACCTGCCAGTCCCCACGTATCAATGGGCGCTGAATGGGCATGATGAAGGACAGTGATGCAAGACCTCAGGCTCTCTAATCTAAAACAATGGCGCCTTACTACTGACAAATTGGGCTGTAGATAAAAATTGTGGGGGGATGAGAAACTAATTTCTAAAAAATTGCTGTCCCTTTTCTGGCACTCCTTCTGGTGGTCTATGTCCTGGAAAAAATCCATCGTTCCTGTCATGTGAGAGTTCATTCAGCTTGCTCCTGTATTCTTCTTTATCAGCTTGTGTGTGTTATGTAATACTGAGACATTTGTAATAATCAAGTGTGGGCGTGTGTGGTGTAGAAAGTTGTGTTAGCACTAGTGCAACATCAGTGATTGTGGACAGGCTGGGTCAGTTAGCAAAGCAAGCCCAGGGTGAAGCTTTCGCGTATGGGCGCACGTGCTTACACATGCATGTGCACACCACACCATGGTAACCATGGTAATTTACATCATGCCTTATTGGCAGCTAGACACTGAGCGTCCTCTCCAGGTTGCCCAAACTAACCAACAGCATGAATACTTCTTCATTCAGCAACTTAGACGGCCGTCTGGTTAGCTACTAGTGGGTGGATATGGCAAAGGCGCTTCGGAACTGTTGCCAAACCGGTCGATTTGGTGATCTCAGTTTCGTCCCCTGGTTCCCCATCCGCACCCGTCCCCGGCATGTAGTTGACTATGGGTGGAAAGGTGGCAGTTTGTTGGCTGCTCGTACTCCGACATTGGCTACTGCAGGGTGGTTTTGAACAAGCCGTAGATATAGAATCGTGAAGCACATGTTCAACGACATCTTCCTCTGCTGCACCTCTATATTACAATGATCAAAAGTAGCCGTCAAAGCTTGACCGCTCTGTCCATATACTACGGTAGTCATTATTATTGTCTAATCCTACAACATTGTTTCTCTCTCTCTCATTCTCTCTCTCTCTCTCTCTCTCTCTCTCTCTCTCTCTCTCTCTCTCACTCTCTCTCTCTCTGTCTGTCTCTCTCTCTCTCTCTCTCTCTCTCTCTCTCTCTCTCTCTCTCTCTCTCTCTCTCTCTCTCTCCCTCACTCCCTCACTTGTGATCGTATTACCCACAACATCCAGTCAAGAACACCTGTTACTGTACAACACGTTATTTTCGGTGTAATTTAAAATTTCTGTAATTTCGGTAGACTAACCAGGCACCTAAATTTAGATTACACCCTAATGGCACTGGAGTATGTACGGTAGGTGCAGGGCACCCTGGTCACCTAATTCTACATTAATACACCTGAAACCTGGCAGGTCCCTGATACCGAAATTGTACTACACCTAAAATTGCATGTTGTACAGTAACCTAATCCGGCTCAATTTGTTGAAGGCAGTGTTCCAAGAGACTGTGCCTCTTGAGCAAAGCACACATGGCCTAGTGACTATTCCTTGAGGATTGCAGTGGATAACAGAATATGACAAATGGTGTTCCTAGCCTGGGCAGTGTCACATGAAACACAAGAGTACTTGTAGTCCTGGGCTTGCCCTTTCCCTGAAACTTTGCCACGGGTGTGGAAAGGTGTAAGATGACAATGGATCCTGCTAAGGAGCATTGCCACGAGAAATGAACATTTAGTTCAAGGGTTGTGTGTTTGCGCTTGTGTGTGTGTGTGTGTGTGTGTGTGTGTGTGTGTGTGTGTGTGTATTTGTGTATGAGGGGGGCTCAAATCCTACAGTAATCCACCCTATGTTAGGTACTTCTTCCACAGAATGACCCGGATTGTTAGATAGGCTGTGTAGCTTGTGAAGACCATAAATCATTTCACGAATATAAGAACAGTACTGTCTGACGCCGAAGAACTGGGAGGGTCAGGGTTCTAGCCTAGCCCATTCTTATTATTAGCGAACACAGCAGTTTCGTTCTCATTCGATGGTGCAGTGTTACATTGTACATGTATGCAGAGTTATGCATCTGTACAGTGTTACATTGTACATTCGATGGTACAGTGTTACATTGTACATTTATGCAGAGTTATGCATCTGACTGCACATTATAGTGTACTGAAGTATATTACTGTTTCCGATCTTATCTGCAAAACATCCAGCCTACAGCCCTACACCATTCCCTGTCCATTCTTCCCCAGTCTGTTCTTGGGCGCCCCACAGCACTGCTGTACATGACTGTAGATCTGAAGGGGTAAATATCCTGTTGATGAGTGTTACCACTGGCGTAATGAGGTGGTGAAAGTGGGCTGTGTCTTCCCTTAGTCTAAGGGGACAGGTCCTGTTAGTAGCTCTTCTTGATGGCATACCTAGATATGTCTACACTGGAAACACGACAGCATGCAGATAGCAGCATCCTGATAGCAGTGTCCTTCCGACCTCATTCTATAGATTAGAATAATGGCATGCCCTGTGCCTTCCATCGGGTGCAGGTGGCATGTGAAAGGAATGGAATTCATTTTCCAGCATAGGCAGCACCATCTCAGTAAGGTTCTAATGGAATGCAGCCGTGGCAATGTTCCAATGTGCTTGTAGAGCAGTAGAGAGGCCATTGTTTGTAGGAATGTTGACCACCGTGTCGTGGTATTTATGCTCCCCAAGTGGCAATTGCCATGCCTGCTGATCTTGTCAAGTATTGATGTGTAGATGATCTATGTTTACCTGTGTTGAGAGCCACCTTTCTTGGAGTGTGTGTCACTGTCAGGAATGTGTTCTGCTCCTGTTGACTACTACACATTGGAGAAATATGTGTATGGTCTCTCTCTCTCTCTCTCTCTCTCTCTCTCTCTCTCTCTCCATCTCCATCTCTCTCTCTCTCTCTCACTCTCACTCACGCTCTCTCTCTCTCTCTGAAACTAGTCCAACCGTTGGACTTTCCATGTCCGCTGTCAGCAAGCCGTATCTGTACTGTTGTCTCGACAGTGTGGAGTGTAATCAGAATCCAGTACGAATATCCATGCTACCTGCGTACTCACCTAGGTTCCTTCACGTAATAATCCGTCAGCTCTTGTTTTATGCTGTCTCCATCCGAAATCACCTGCGTTTCCCCATTGTGGTGTTTGTGCTATGGTGTATAGCCATCCTGAAATCCCACTGCACCCTACTGCCCTGGTGTATTTCCATACCAAGATCTTGATCCTCATGCCAAAGCAGCAAGGCACGCTATCGTTGATGTATCCTTCTTTGAAGACTATGAAAGAATATTGTGTAGGCTAACTATCTGCAATCTACCAGTTAATGGTAATTAGGGCAATACTTATTCTCTGGAGTGGTCCTGGTAATCAATAGATTGAAGTGGTAGCCCCTAAATATTGGCTGGTAGCATCCTTGAAGTGGAGCTGCCGAAGGATTTTGCCTGGAGACATGCCAAGTCTAGTTGTACAATCAGTGTTGGTGGTGCAGCAGGTGAATCGTGACTGAGCAAGGGGGCACGCATGCAGGGTATACAGGTGTGAAGACTGGAGGGTGTTTGGCACACTCACTGTTCACATGCATCCATATCCAATGCCAGCACCGCCACCACCACCTGCACCACCATGATCACCACCACCAGCACCACCATCATCGCCACCACCACCCAGCACCACCACCAGCACCACCACCAGCACCACCACCCAGCACCACCAGCACCACCAGCACCACCACCAGCACCAGCACCACCTCCTCCTCTACCACCACACCGGAGGTATGCATGCAAATTCCACCAGGACAGTTAGTGGGAAGGAAAGCCTGTTGTGCTGGAGAAAAGGGGGCGGCATGAAAAAGAGTAAGACATTATTCCAGAAAAAAATATGTCCTTGAGAACCGCAAAGGACCCTCGAACCATTTAGATCGCCCCCCACCCCGACACATCAGCTTGAAAGCTGAACGAAAGAGTGGTGTCAGTGGATGGTCCCTAAAGCGGAGGTTGCTTCCGGCAGGTGTGTACTCGCGTTATGATTCAATTTCTTCTCTTAGGTATATGCTAATTGTGTTTCTCTCTGTGTCTGTCTCCATGTCTCTCTCTCTCTCTCTCTCTCTCTCTCTCTCTCTCTCTTCCCTCTGTTTCCTCAGTTGATCAAGCAAGCCGATCAAGGCTACAGCAGCGATGGAACCAGCCTCAACAGCTTACAGCGTGCACCATCACTCATGTCTGTCAACTCAGTCATGTCTGTTGCCTCAAATACTTCCAAGGTGAGGCAGTGGAACCAGCCTTTTGGTAGGCGGAAGAAGTTTAAGTTGAGCGGCTTGTATTCACCCGTTTTCAGATTTTCGTATGCCCCATCTTAGCCATATTTCCCTGCATACACTCACTCCTCCCTTATCCAGCCCTCCTGCATCTAGTTCCCTCCCTCCACCTGGCATGTTTTCTTTCTGGGACATGTGAGTAGTATTTTTACAACTACATGCACACTAATTTTGTACCTTGATCTTCGGTCTCAATGCGTTCGCATATGGGGTGTCTTTGGTGTTCATGTACTTAGTGGAGGCATCACTTCTGCCACATGGGCTACCTCACAATGCTAATGGTAGCTCCTATAGTGCGTTTCAATAAAGTCCAGACCTCTGGTTTCAAAGAACTGTTTGACCAGCATGTATGATGCAGCTCCTAAGCGGTGGGAGGTGAGTAGATCAGACCCACCACAAAGTGGTACCAAGAGTCCATAACCCCCCCCCGAGTGTGCAACTCGTGATCCTTCTCAGCACAAATCAGTGCCGCAACGAAATCCAAACTTCATACGTCATGTAGTGAGTAGCTATGACGAAATGGGAAGTTTGGCCCGGACCTACTTCGCCCGTTTGCCCAATTTGGGGTCTTTCTTTACGAATCCACGGCCAGGTATTATGTACGTAACACCAGATATGCACATGGCCCCATCCGCCCATGCTTGCCCGGGGACCGGATGACGCAATGTTTGGATTTCGTTGCGCCAGACCCCAACCTGGAGTTGCACACTCTGGGGGGTTATGGACTCTTGGTGGTACGGAAGTTGTGTAAAGAGAATAACGAAACGTTGCTTCTGGTTCTTGTTGCCGCGTGTCCGTCGTCTTCTTCTACTCGCTCAGTCGACAGCGACCCAGACGAGCAGCAACCGCCTCAAAGAGAAGATGCTGGAAATGGAGACGTTCCGGGACATTCTCAACCGCCAGGTGGACACGATGCAGGGCTTCTTCGACCAGTGCAGTGCCACGGCGACATCAGCGGAGCAGCTGGACGAGGACAATGACGAGGACTGCAGGAAGGCAGTGAGAAACCTGAAGCAGCTCTCGGAGAAGGGCATTGACTTCCGCGGCGAGTCCATCACGTTCCGGGCAACGCTGCAAGGTGAGATCCAGCCCTGTCCGCCTGTATTACACACAAGCAGATGTTAGAGAGTAACATGCAACCTGTCAAGAGAGGTGATTTGACAATGGTGGGAAACTAAAGAGTTGTTCAGTTTCATAGTTGGGGGGCCAATGATCGGAAAACCTTGATGATAACGAGGCGGGTACCTCCGGTTACAATGAGGAAGTTTGCAGTGAATATATTCTGTGCATGGAAGATCATTTTCTGCCACATGTAACATGTGATTCTGACTATTCTGTTTGCTGCACATCACCTCCGACTTGTGTGAGAATATGCAGCAAGTGTGATACTGGTGGTGTTGTGCTCAACTCGCTAATTCTCTTCAGAAATGAAGAGTGAGGTACGGCACCAGGTGTCTGCATGCCTGCAGCCAACATCGTATGTGTCTTCATAATGTCTTGACATGTTGTTGCGTTGTGAAAACTGCTAAATCGGGTTTTTCGCGTACCTTATTTCTGCCCTGGCAGGTTTACTGTCGACCATATCATACTGCAATGATCTGATCACGCGACGTGACGAGACCATGAAGAAGCGACTGGAGCGTGAAATCGAGCGACGGCGCAAGGCCGAGCAGTCGGTCAAATCGCGACGCACCGCGGCATCGTCGACGTCGGCCGCTGCTTCTGCTGCCGGTGGCCGTATGATGGGAGGACCGGACTTTGAAGAGGGCCCGTACTGCGCCATGAAGGAAGACGACTTCCTGGACGCCATCGAGAACGAGTGCGATCGCATGGACCAGGAGGAGGAAGAGGCGGAGGTAAGGCATTGCCGTGAGCTATACGATCAACGGGTCCAGCGAGAGGTGCAAGTGACATTGTCATGTCTCGGTGCTTATGTCTGCATGTGCACACGTATGAAGATGTTCGTACAGGCACAAGCGTGTTTGTTGGCAAGTCATGGGCCATGCTTGTTGCTGGGCAGCCCGAGTACTACTACATGAGCACCGTGTATCGTATGGGCAGCGTGCCATCCGGAAAAGTATGCGGACGTTGGGTTTTGAGTCGCGACATAGTGTATCAGCTAGATACAAAGGCGTTTGTAGTACAGGTATCCAGTGTAGCACGTTCCTGATGGTGATCATCTTCAGCAGTGTTCTGATCACAAGCAGCTGCTGCTGGTCATGTATATTGGGGAGATACGTCATCATTGTAAGCTAGAATTTGCCCGAAACGCTATAGTAAGGTTTGTGCATTGACTAGCTTGTATGTGTGTATGTGTTTTGCTTCCTCTTGTGCGCAGCGTCGAGCACAATCGCTGAACAGTCTCGACGACCAGTCCGACTCGCTCAGCCAGGATACAACGCAGAACCCGGCCATGCAGGAACTGGAGGTGAAGCTGAGTGAGACGCTTCGCTATTGCTACGAGGACGTTGGTTCCGGCTGGACAGCAGTACATGAGGATGGCGATATGAAGGTAAGGCTGCGTTTGCACGAGGCCTTTCACACCGGCTTGAGTTCGACCCGGGTCGAGTTTCAACCCGCCGTGAACACAGCTTGACTGGAGCGTTCACATGACGCATTGCGCTTGACCCGGGTTGAAATTTCAGCCTGGGTTGATTTCAACCCGCCCCCTTGGGGCAGCTCTGTCCAGTATACTGTTGTAGCACTGATGGTAATAATGACTGATATGTAATGTTCGTGTCTGAGGCAGTTAAATGTATAGTGTATGTCTGTATTTAGTATTCAACTCGAATGGGGAGCCAGGGGTTAAATTTCAGAGGAAAGGACCAAAAGTTTACAAGCCCCGTAGTTGTCCAACACTGGCAATAATTATAAGCTTGATATTGATGAGTCATACCCTGCAACAGTTAGCACGATAATGACTGCTGTGGTATTCAGTGACATTCAACGGCCTGATGTTTAGCTCCATCACGTCTCATTTTTGTGATTAGGTATACCGTCGTGATCTTGAAGAGGGTGGAGTGGTGCTGGATCCGCTGAAGGCCATCCACACCGTCCCGGGGGTCACTGCGTACGAGCTGACACATTACTTCTTCGATGAGAAGTATCGCTTGCAATGGGAAGGTAAGCATAATCAATGCGGCATACTCTGTCTTTGAGCAGCTATTTTTTGGTTATGAAGAGGAGGTTCTTGTCCCATTCAGATTATTCTCATCGCTGTTTTCTGATGATCGCTTACTTGTGTGTGACACTCAGAGGCTCGACACGTTCTCCCTCCTCTTCTTGTTGGAGGCTCTTGTCTCATGTGGTCCCTTTTAGCTCGCATAATATCTTGCCTTCTGCCATGCCCTCATTCCCTAACAAAATAAGAAAAAATAATAATAATAATAATAATAATTCACATTCGGATAGACAATCACACTCGCACCTTCCACTCTGAAAAGACCATGATCCCTTCTCAAGCGTGCGCATACGAGAGAAAAGCCTACACATCATAGAGTTCTAACATGGGAAATTGTGGGCACAAGTTATGCGATCGAGTCCACCAACTAAACCAGATTTTGAACAGTCGGACGTGCACAATCTAGCGCAAAACTGACAGGGAGCACTGAGACATTCCACGTCATGAAAGTCAGCTTGAGCACTGCTCATAGAGTTATAATATTACAAGTACTATTATTGTAACAGTTAATAATACAGTGAAACCTGTCTAAGGCGACCGTTCAAGGGACCTTCAAAATGTGGTCCCGTGTACAGGTGGTCTCCTTATCCAGGTTCATTTAACTGGAAACAACACTCCCTTAATCCTGGTTGTAGTGGTCCTCTAGGAGACTTGGTCGCCTTATCAGAGTGGTCGCCTTGACAGGTTTTACTGTACATGAATGTGCATGACGTAATGCAAGACGTAATGCATGACGTAATGCATGATGTAATGCAAGATGTAATGCATGACGTAATGCAGGACATAACACCTTGTTTCCATTTCCCATCTTCTGTCTCTGTGTTGTTGTTTGGTTGTGTGTAGGCACGCTGGACTCGTTCAGTGTTTTGGAACGGCTCAGCCCCAACACACTCATCATGCACCAGGTGCACAAACGCGTATGGCCCTCGTCGCAGCGCGACGTCGTCTTCGTCTCGCACAAGCGCGAGCTGCCGCAGCGCTGTGCCATCAAGGAGCGCGGCAAGGCCTACGTCGTGTGCAATTGCTCGACGGAGCACGAAAAGGACCCGGTAAGTGGTGTTGGATTCGAGGAACGGTCGGCATTGCGTCGGTGATGGGTCTGGCTCAGTTGCGCACAGTTTGACATCATATCTCTCTCATCCGGGCGCTCCGGGATAGGGCACTGTCCATAAGGGCGCGTTCAGACTGGCGTGAATAGCCGCCGGAAAGCTGCAGCGTAATCCCGGGAATTGCAATCACACTGCACGTGTATCCCGCTGGAATGCCCAGTACATTATGTGAAGCTTCGACATTTGAAAAAATTGAGTTGACTCAGTTTGAGTTGGATATCAAAATAAACTAATTCAGTCTGTTGAGATGCTGGATCATTGTGCTTTTGCTTGTGCTTGTCGACGGAAAGAATACTATGTCCGGAGTGTTTGGTGCTTGGGTGGCATTCATCCGCTCCGCGATCAGAGTATGCTTCTCGTTCGCAGTAACGCTTTGCCTGCAGAGCGGCCCGCAAAAATCACCACGTACAGCTCCATGAACTCCCTCTCCATTGCTGAGTCGAACAAAGATTTCGGCATGATGGGAGAAGTAATTAGTTGGCAGTCTAGAAGTTAAAACTCAAAAGCATGCAGTCAGACTGCAAGAGTACAGGCTGAAATAAAACGAAAAGACGGAACATGTGCTGCAAGGATATCAAAAGCGCTCCGCGTGCCGCCGGAATCTGCATTCCACTGGCCTGCAGAGTGGTGGGAAACCTTTTCCGTGTTTACGCTGGCGGGAACGTCACGTGAGCGATTCACCTTGACAACTTTCACATTCCGCTTGTTTTTTTACGCCAGTCTGAACGCGCCCTAACGCGGGAATGTCCGTAACTCACAATCATGCACACTTTGATGGAGCAGTGCCAGAAGTTTTCAATGTGTACAGTTTGGTTGATGGGGAATGGGGCTTTCGTTTGATCTGGTTTGTAACAATGCGAGATTCTTAGTTTGACAGTAGTTTCTTCCGGTTCTGTTTAGAATCGTGACCAACGGACAATGCTCGTGTGGGAGCAGGGTACCCGTGCCTGCTTATAGTGTGTTGAGTCACTGTTCACATGTGCAACTTTGTGCGTCCTTACCCTAATAATGAGTATGGTGTGCAACTGTCGTCCGTGTGTGTGTGTGTGTATGTGTGCGTGCGTGTGTGCGTGTGCTGCTGCTGCTGCTGGCGGTGGTTGCACAGAATACGAACGGCAAGTTCATCCGTGCCAAGGCGAACATCTTCATGTTGGCGCACACACTATGCACGGCTGCACCCGGTGAAGAAATCGACCGCAGCCACATCACCTGCCAGATCACCTACTCGGCGAATGGTAAGCTGTCAGGCGCTGGTGCTTTCTTTGTAGGCATCCTCATTCCAGATGCATCCGTGCTACTGATTCCAGTTGCATTCAGTATCACGCTCCTGATTCCAGTTGCACTTAGTTTCACGCACTTCATGATTCAGTTGCATTCAGTTTCATGCTCCTGATTTCAGTTGCATTCAGTTTCACGTTTCTGATTCAGCAGTCATGCTCCCTCCTATCCAGGTTTGATTTCTACCCTTTCTCTCATGTGTCTGTTGTTTTACAAGTATCTATTTCGTTCCACGTGGATTTTACTGACCCAACATGAACATTGTGAAACACAAACATAGCAGACTAATAAAATTTAATGATGATGTGCTGCGTGTGTGTGTGTGTGTGTGTGTGTGTGTGTGTGTGTGTGTGTGTGTGTGTGTGTGTGTGTGTGTGTATGTTCATGTGTGTATGTATGTGGGTGTATGTATGTGCGTGTGTGTATGTATGTGCGTGTGTGCATGTATGTGCGTGTGTGCTCTTGTGTGATGTTTGCTGTGTTTTTACAGTGAATCCCGGCGGATGGGCACCGCCATCCGTAGTTCGTGCCGTGTCCAAACGCGAGTATCCCAAGTTCCTACGGCGCTTCTCTCAGTTCGTTGTCAAGCAGACCCAAGACTGCGAGATTGAGTTTGGGCCAGAGAAACCCGATGAGCTGGACACAATGTCGGCAGGTGACCTGGATTTGTCCTCGTCGTCCGATTCCGGCGAATAGAGGGTCGCCTAGACTAGTTTCAGCCAGCGGTTTGTGATCTCGTTTCTTGGACTCTTTCGATGGTTGGTGATCCTGAAGCACTCCGCTTGCACTTTGTAATCGACTATGCCCATGGTCTGGCATATGACGTAATCAGAGTAGTCACGATGTCACGGTTGTGCTGTTGCACGACGTCATGCAGAAGCCATCACCTGCATAGTTTCGTAGCGCCCCTGTCTACTCTGCAGCTGCAACTCTCTGGCGTTCCGTGACAGCTTAGTCAACGGACAAACGCCTGCGCCGAAAATTAGAATTTGAACTTTGATGAAAAGCATGTGTTGTGCAACTTGTCCCTAGGTCGTGCAAACGCGCACTATAGGTGTCCGATGATTGAGAGCATGTATGACTAGCATAATATCACATGTGTTGTTTTCTTTTTCTTTCTTTTATTATTTTCACAATTCCACAGTTCTCCCAGCACCCGTGTCCGTAATACACTGGCCCAGTTTGAAGCTATACTCACTCGGTTGAACACACACTTAGCACTTTAACCTCTCCTGTCTCCTTCCAAGCATATCCACGTCAAGCACCGTGTACGCCACTAACACAACTGCACATAGCCCACGTTTCCCTCTGTTTGAGTTTGCTTGAACAGCCCTCGACAACTCGCACATATCGCCTAAAGCTAGCTTTAAATTTTTCCGGTCGCCACCCATGCACAGCGACAGCTTCCAGCAGGTGTGCTTATGTTGTCACCGATCTATGCGCTCCAGAGATACAGATAAATATATCCAAGCACTCGTGCACACGCACACTCAGACACACGCACACACACACACACACACACACACGCACTTCTCAAGGCACCGGCTGCCTTTCTAACTTAATCCCCTATGCTCCAAGATATGCTCGCAAAAGCTACTTTCTGCTGTTTCCTATGTTGCACACTAATAGGGTGCCTTTTGTCATCAACATCATCAAATTTCTAGGTGTTTTCTCAGTAAATCTATTTTCTGTGCATTTGAATACATGTCCAGTGCAACGAGCAGTGGACACTGTTTCCTACTAACTGACAGTAACATGTCTCTGTGTATGAATGAGAAGATGGCTCATGAAATCTCTCTTTTCATGTGGCTTTGATGGGGCGACCCCCATAGGTTTTGGCAGTGAGCAAGCATTCAAAGCAAGCACGTACTCGTAGTACGCGGTACGGCCGTAACACTCAATACCTTTCCAATAAATCGCACTGCTGAATGAGTCTTACTAGTCAGGATGAAACAGCTGGGACTGATTAGATTAGAAAATTTCATGATAAAAAATAAAGTGGTTCACTGCGACAAGCTTGCCAGAGAGAAAGTGACTTCTAACCATCATTGGTGTGCAGACACGTACACAGCAAGTGTATTATGAAAAATGCTGCAAAGTCACACGGCGACAAGAGGTATAGATGATAGCATGGTATGCATTATGTGCCGGGTAGTTGTTCTGAGCTGCATCGCAATACAGAATACGCTGCATCTCCATACACTATCGGTATGAATGACTGGGACTGAAAGCCCAGATGATCAGAAAGTCAAAAATTGTTCGGTGTGCTTTCGGCACCGTTTCAACTCAGAGGGTGGACTATCCCAAAGAAGCTGCTTGCAGAGCAGCGGAATAACAGAAGAAGAGAGACACGCAAGGTCTCATTATTACTGCAACTCGTTCGCTAGACAAGTTTCGCAAACGGCTGCCAATGGGAGCGTGGCACGCACAAACAGGCGCGGCAAAAGCGTCACACGTACTGCGACCAATGTTACGCTGTTAGCTCTAGCAGCAAAACATGGTGCTGTTCACTGGCTGTCAAGTGCCGCTCGGTCAGGGGTCAGGATCTGTCGGCGGTGTGCTCATGTCACGACCAGCCCTGTTCTCGTTTCGCCATCACTGGGCTCGGCACACGGTGTGAGATCACGCGGACCACGCCCTCTCCACCATCTTCAAATTTAAAACATTGAAACGTATTCGGTTGAGAGGTAGAGCAGTTGCGTGTTGCAATACCGCATGCTACTCACCAGCGGTGCTCGCTGGTGCCGTAGATGGCACGTCCTGCGTCGGTGTTGTGTCCTGCGTTGGTGTTGTGTCCATTGATGGTGCAGTCGCAGCATCACTGCTCATTCCAGACCCTTGCGCTTCGGTGCCCGTTGCCATGGGTACCATGGAAGATGGCGACGGTGCTTGACCCGTCGGCGAGCTGCCGTCCTCCGGCATCAACTTTCTCTTCTCCATGGCCTCTTCGTACTGCTCCGCTGAGAGTAGCTTGCCCATGACGTTCTGGCGCTCGTGATGTTTGGGCAGTATGACAGCAATGTAGCCATTGCTCTGCGGCTGAACAGACAGCAACAACAACATGGCGCACGGTGAGAGAGAGAGAGAGAGAGAGAGAGAGAGAGAGAGAGAAAGAGAGAGAGAGAGAGAGAGAGAGAGAGAGAGAGAGAGAGAGAGAGAGAGAGAGAGAGACACACACACACACACGGAATGCTGGTAACTAACTACAGTCACTGGAGAGCTAAAGTGGCTGTCTAGCTTTCAGCAACCCCCCTGCTCCGCAGGACCATGATATCGTTCGCACTGCATATGTGGAAGTGGTGGAATGTTCAAGGATCACCCCGGGTGGAGAGGTCAACTGCGTTCAAAGGCCTTGATCAACCGGTCCCTATTGTGGTCGTCGAGACCAAGGTTTCGCCTGTTCTACATGTATACGCTGTTTATGCAGTGCCCACAAGCTTGGCTACTTTCTGCGGTACGGCTAGACCACGCTTATCCCAGTTCTCTCGCCATCCAGCGTATCTTCCGGGGTCAGAACCATAACGGTTGATAGGGAGGTTGCGCACAACGAAAATTCGTAGCACCATAATGAAAAAAGCTAACAAATATCTTTAAACTGTGAGGTTGCGCACAACGTATGAATTTTTTCGTAGTGGATCGACGCGGTGACCGCGCGCGTGCGAAGATTCAGGGCAGAAGTTGTAAAATATCAGTATTTTAGTACTCCACGTAACGAAAATTATTTTCGTAGATCTGCTCTGTTTCGGTCGCGTTCGGACGGATATTCGTGGCAACTTTTGTTACTTGAACCCGGACGGTCCAAATCTTACGAATTTTAGTTGTGCGCAACCTCTCTGATAAGTGTGGTGTGTAGAACGGTGAAGTTACTTGACTAAACAGCCCCCTCCTAGTGCTGCATCTGCTTACACGCGTACCTCTACCCATGGCTATGGCATGGGTTCTGGTGCTTCTGCATGAAAGATACATGAAATAGTTGTCATGAGCCCAGAAAGTCGTTACCGAAGCAGTGACTTTGACCTCGGGGCGCGAAAATCATTGTCGTTAGTCAGACAGTCGCTACATCCACAGTTAACAGTTTGATGGGACTTTGCTTTGGGCATGGAATTTCTGCCGTTACTCGCGAAGTTGATTGTACTGTTGTACTGCAAGTCGACAAATTTTCGGCCCATTCAAATTTCGGCCTCCCAGGGATGAAACGTATTTCGGCCGCATCAAATTTACGGCCTGTACTGCTGCCGCCTGTATGCACTGCCACACACTGAACCTTGCAAAACAAATTTTCGGTCAAACATGTCCAGGCCGAAAATAGCCGAAAATAAATAAATATGTGTTGACTTACAGTACTATAGTGCTGGCAACTGAAATCCGACCCCCCCCCCCCCCTAGCGGTGCGCTAGCCGCGTTAGCGATTCGTACGAGACGCTAGGGGGGGGGGGGGGGGGTCGGATTTCAGTTGCCAGCACTATAGTATACAAAACAAAGAGCCATGCTGGACCACATAAGCAGCAGCAGCACAACACCTACCCATGAAGACAGCAGGCTGGGATTCTCAACCAGCGTCTCGTTGACCTCCAGAAGATCACCACGAATGCAACTGCATAAGAAAAAAAACAGATGAGATCACGAAAGCACACACACACACACACTCTCAGACTCAGACATGCCCAAATGAAGCGTTCGGCCTGAGCATGTGAGTGATTTCAAAAAAGTACTAAGGAGCCGATAGTGCAAGCTACTTTGCTGGCGACAGCAGCAATCCCACTAAAACACATATATTGCAAGCAATGCATTGAAAGTACATACAAATACCCCAAGTGCCAGCTGTGATGTACAGTTGTCAACACGATGCCCTATTTGCAACTACGATGGACAAGAAGAAAAAACAAAACCATACTAGTATGCAGTTGCAGCTGCAAAACAGCTCACCTGTAAATAATGTATTCCTTTCCATCTTCACATTGCACTTTACACAATGGTGAATAGGCTGTCAGCCATTGCCCACCACCTGTTCAAACCAACACACAGCACCATGGGAGAGAGAGAGAGAGAGAGAGAGAGAGAGAGAGAGAGAGAGAGAGAGAGAGAAAAGAGAGAGAGAGAGAGAGGAGAGAGAGAGAGAGAGAGAGAGAGAGAGAGAGAGAGAGAGAGAGAGAGAGAGAGAGAGAGAGAGAGAGAGAGAGACACACACACACACACACACACACACACACACACACAGACAGAGTTATAGAGACAGATAGAGAGAGACACACACACAAAGAGAGAGAGAAACATTAGCACTCTACGCCAACGTTATCGTCAAGATCATCACACATGCAGTACCACACACTATCTCCAAATTGGCTGGTGTTCCGACTGAGCCTTGAGATGTTGCACTTGATAAACGAGAGAGCTTGGAAGCTCAGGGCCCTACGCTATGCTTTTTTGCCTTGCAGACCTAGACAAAAAAAAGCATAGGGATATTATTAATTCTTTAAAAAATTCCTTTTTTTAAGACATAACCTGGGATTCGAACCCGCACTATCGCGCTCCCTGCATGCATCCCCCGATACACTTCGCATACATACTAATTCTTCCAAGTTGTTTCACATTGTGATCTTGCATTTGAAAGCCCTATTTGAATATGCATTGTGGCCAGCCGTCTTTGATGGCACGGTACGGTAGGGGATAGGTACGGGACAGGTACGATCGAGGGTAATACGACATCGTCTCCCGTACCGTACCGTACCATCAAACACAGCTGGCCACATACAGCTGCCCGCAATATTCAAATAGGGCTTTCAAACGCAAGATAATAACGTAAAGCAACTTGGAAGAATGGGTATGAATGCGAAGTGTATGGGGGAATGCATGTAGGGCAATAGTGCGGGTTCGAATCTCAGGATATGCCTGAAAAAAAAGGAGAATTGAAAAATTTATAACATCCTATGTTTTTTGCCGTCAGATACGGATAGCGCCAGGCGTGACACAAACAAACACACAAACAAACACCAAATTAAAGCTGTGTGGACCCTGGCTAGCGCCAGACGTTACTGAAGTAACGTCTTCTGCATAGCTACGGGAATAAATGATTAAATAAACAGACTCATGGAGGCTACATCCAAGCCTGCATATAGTCAGCTTACGCTTTCTCTTGCCGCGCACTTTGCTTGCCGAACGGTCTGTCTTTTCGTTCACTTGAAAGTCAACGCTGACCGGCTTGGATGTGAGCAGTGCGTGAGACGGAGCAATGCACACCACGCATACTCTACAGAAGTGCATACCAATACACACACGTACACACATACACACCCATCCATGGACACACAGACAGACACACAGACAGACACACAGACACAAACACACACAAACACATTGAATTAATTAACATAATTGATAAGAATTTAAGAAACTATCTTTACTTATAAAGAAGAGGCACCTGTGACGTGTGTCTGTGTGTGTGTGTGTGTGTCACGCTCCTTATAAAGAAGAGGCACCTGTGACGTGTGTGTATGACAGTGTATGTCATCACGCTGCCCTGAGCACGCGAAGCGTGCGAACAGTGTAGCACAGTGCAGTGTCAGTGTAGCTAGCGGAAGCAGCCACATGGCCACAGAAGAAGCACTGAGCACGCGTTCGAATCGTGTAGCCACCACCACGTGCGAACAGTGTATACATGTAGGTGGTAGCGCTTATAGCAGACACGATCAGTACGAGTAGCAGTAGCACTAGCAGCCGCGCGCAGAAGCACTGAGCACGCGAAGCGTGCGAATCATGTAGCCACCTAGCCTAGGCCATAGGTAGCACTAGCAGCCGCACAAGCGCTGCGGACCACGTGAACCGTTCTCTGCAAATAGAAACATCTGCAACAAAAGGATACAAAAGATCTGCACTGACTGCACTCTGCATCTGATCTGCAGTAAAGAGCGCATCGCACTTTTGTTCGTAAGTTTATGAATTTGTTGAGCCGCTTCATCCGCCACCAGGTGATGGACAACCCTGACCAGCCTCCCGAAGGCGTAACAGACGTCCCTCCTTCTCCTTCCAATCATGAAGAACCTTCCTCACCAGGACTTCAGCGGTCTGGCCACCACCACGTGCTGAGCAAGTGTGCTGTTCATGTACTTGCTTCACCCGCGCGCATGCCACATTCGGCCAGGCAACGCTGGCCTGGGGTGCTGCTAGTGGGATATACATGCCGGGATAAGCGGTTGTGCTATGACGCTCGAAGAATACAACAGCCATCGACAACTTAAGCCAAAGCTTTCAAGCAATCAACCGCATCGTGACAAAGCACAGAATCGTCGAACAGGAAATTACCATACGACCTGATTCAGGTCAACAGGAAACTACGTGGAACCGACCAGTTTTCAAACACGGGCATACCGACATTGATAAGGAAAAAGAAAAGGAGAAAAGAAGGTGAAGTACGAAAGACTAGAGAAGTGCGAACTAGTAACAAGGATGGGTGAAGAGAAAAAATGAGGAGGTGAGAAAATAATAACAATGTGAGACTATGGGCGTGTTTGGTTGGCACAGCCTAGAACAGGATTCACCAGAACAGCGCGTTTGGTTGGGACTGCACTTGTTCTGGGTCGGCCAGAACATGATCTACTTGCTCCGGCCTCGAGGCCGGAGCAGACCGAGCAGTTTCACTTTTTCACAGCGAAACCTGGCGGGAACATCGATTTTGGTCCCAAATAATCATGTGCATACGCTTTTGGGTTGGACTCGTTGTACCGTACAAATTGACCATGGTGACCCGTACACATTTTTGAAGAATGCACCAAGTTTGGCACACTTTTTCACAAAAAATGTGCTCTGTTTCTGGAGTAGCGTTTGGTTGCCATGAGGCTGCTCTCTGTGCACCGGCTGTTCGATCTTGTTCTAGATCGTACCAACCAAACGCACCCTATGAGAAGGTGAAATGTAAGGTGTACAAGAAGAAAAGGTTTCCTGCTCCTCTGACTTCTACCAAGAGTACATATCCCCCAGAGTGTGCAACTCCCACATACCCTGCTGTCCCGACAGCATTTCAAGTTGACGTCATTATTTATGACGCAATGCTCCTTGCACCAGTGATTTACAACATGTGTACGGGTGTCAACGCATCACACGCTTTTCTTTGCAATTATTTGTACAGGATCGATCGGCTTCGGTCAACCACAGGTTCCGGATTCGTCTGATAATCCGTGTACAGTGCGCATTGCATCATCAAAATGACGTCAACTTGAAATTCTGTCGGGACAGCACCCATAGTGGAGTTGCAAACTCTGGGGGATTATGTACTCTTGCTTCTACACACCCCTTGCATTGTACGAACAAGATGAAAGCTGACCCAACCCTATGGTGCTTACTTATTGGAGTGCTGTAGTATGCATTGATCCTGACCAGGTACATCCTTGATATCTAGAGCAGTGCAACACACAGACACACATACGCACACACAGACACACAGACACACACGCAAACGCACGCACGCGCACACATACAACACACACACACACACGCGCATACACACACACACACATACAACACACACACGCACACACACACACACACACACACACACACACACACACACACACACACACACACAATATATACATATGTCATATGTACACACACACACGCGCACATGCGTGCATACACACACAAACACACACACACACACACACACACATACAACACACACACGCACATACATATACACACACGTACGCACGCACGCGCACACACACACACATGAAAGACGAAAGGTATCATCAACATCATCCATGTTGTATATACAAGAGCATGTCTTCTCATTCGCCAGCTGCTCCGAGCGTGATTCATCCTGCACTCATTTCGTCGCAGAGTGCGAACTGGTCTCAACTGTCACACAATGGGATTGCAGCATGCAATTACAACATTTAGAATACATGTTGAATGTTGGCTCGTTTTTCTTCTTCTCCTTTATTCCCTTTATATTACCGGGCACAAAATGGTATTAACACCACGCGCACAATGCTATACTGTAGCGGACTTTATCATTTTCATATCTAAAGGATTATATTTGAAATTGATTCGGTTCGTCAAATGCATGTATTTCTTATAGCCAGGCCATAACTGGCATAAGATTTTAAGGCAGCTCGTCCCGCTCAGCTGATCGCAACCAGTGCTGCACATCAGTCCGTGCCATGAACATGTAGCATCAGGCAAGCCAAGAATACCGGGATTCAGAAAGCAATTTTAGTATCACAATGGCGTACAGATACAGCTGCACCAATTGGCACAAGACAGTCCTATTCGTGGTACATTTACATACACAACATGGTACCCTATCACTACAATCATGATCGTAGTACTGTATCACTGATTCAACGCAGCGCTCGATGGCTGGGAAACTCACCTATTGAGTAGGACTTTGCGAAATATCGGTCCACGACAAGATCAGGAGTGCCCCATAGTTGTGCCATTGTTCTCCTGTCTCCTAATTTTTTAGCTGAATGTGAAAACAGTCACTGAGAATGAGATCATGAGAGTGAGAAATTTTGAATGTCACATCTATCTATTTTCAGAGATTTGCTCACAAAAAATATTGCGCGCGTGATAGCCGCGTGCATGCAGCCGTGCACACAGCCACGTACACGTACAAGTACACGGCATGCGCACGTGCACGTGCATATCTTAGATCATGCGCGCGCGCATACATAGCGCCTATCGAACGCGACTCGACTCCACAAAACTCGATCGGACACGATCTAGTTCCAGACATGTGCTGCTGTGTGTGTGCCTGATCTGACACTCGAACTCGTCTGTGTGTGTGTTGATCGTTGATGGGCACGGGTCGCGAAAGAATGCGGGCCTTTCAAAACTGCACGAGCCGCTGTTCAGCCACCCATTCCTCTGGAAACTTGCCTGGACATGAGGAGAAAGTTTAGCTGAGGCTGCAAATAATTATTCTCTTGGTGTGTTCTTCGGAAGCCCAGTTTTTATAAGAAGGAGCTGTCCACCATCAACATCACCTAGTTTCTGAAGAGTGCCCAAGCTGTTGTTCCTTCGTCCTCTCTCTCTGGCCTAAAAGATATTTTTTTGATTTCTCCATTCATATCGAAAGTTAGATTTGTAGAACTGGGGCAGTGTTTCAAGAATAGTCATTGGCATAGGGCAGACATTCGAGGACGGACAGCCAGCCATGGAGGAGCATAACATTATGCTGTTCACCGACTCTTACAAGGTAGGCTCGTAGTTCGAATTCACGTTCAAGTTTGAGTTTCTTTTATAATTGGCGTACGACTTGGTGTATTTTGTTTTCTGAAAATTTCTTGTTGTGTCTACGTCCTGGTCGTATGTGCAGTCTCTCAGGCTGTCGAATTGTTTCGATTCCTGGTTGTTTGTAATTATTAATTTTCTTATTATGTGTCTAAATCTCGCACTCATTTCCACCTTGGCTTCCGGCTGGGCAACTGTCGACAAGTCGGCATACTTCCCTGAGTGTGCATTTGAATTCTACTACAGTTTCGATTCCTGGTTGTTTATAATTATTAATTTTCATAATTATGTGTCTAAATCGCGCACTCATTTCCACCTTGGCTTCCGGCTGGGTAACTGTCGACAAGTCGGCATGCTTCCCTGAGTGTGCATTTGAATTCTACTGCAGTAGTAATTATTGACAGGGCTGTGACTTTCGATTTAATGTTTTTCAAATAAATTTGTTGAGTTGTGCATGTATTGAAATGTAGCAAATGTGCACTGTCTTTCGTCTGGTCGGTCTTGCTTCTTCGACTTCCAGTGTAGCATACGGTCCATAGATCTACGTATTTCCCCTGAATTTTCCCGTGCATGGAATGGCCACAGTGGCGACATAGCCACTAGCTAGTGAAGTCTTGCGAAAGATCCGATATTGGGGCTCCGGGCAGGTTTTATTTAGATTGGTATAGCCACCGCTACAGCATGCGGGGCAGCACCTGCTGCGCTGCGATTTATTTATTTCTGGACCCACGCCGTAAAAAATGCAATACCGATTGCCTCTAACGTTACTACCCATCTTGGCACAGTCCGCAATTAGTACATAATGACTACTCTATCCTTGGCGACAGTCTCAATAAATAGGCTATTCAGACTACGGCCAACTGTGACCACGTTTCTACGACTCGGACGTGTTTGATCAGCGACTGTACATACCATTTTGAAACACAACTGCATCACCATGGAAATTCAAGTTCAGACGTGAATTTGTCCGTAGTCTGAATAGCCTCTTAGCCGCGTTTCAGTGGCGGTCGTCTGACATGTACGGATAGTTGTATTCATTATTTTAATTTATTTCCACCAGTACATGCCGACTTGATTTCCACCAGTACATGCCGACTTGATTTCCACCAGTACATGCCGACTTGATTTCCACCAGTACATGCCGACTTGATTTCCACCAGTACATGCCGACTTGATTTCCACCAGTACATGCCGACTTGATTTCCACCAGTACATGCCGACTTGATTTACACCAGTACATGCCGACTTGATTTCCACCAGTACATGCCGACTTGATTTACGCCAGTACATGCCGACTTGATTTCCACCAGTACATGCCGACTTGATTTCCACCAGTACATGCCGACTTGATTTACGCCAGTACATGCCGACTTGATTTCCACCAGTACATGCCGACTTGATTTACGTCAGTACATGCCGACTTGATTTACGTCAGTACATGCCGACTTGATTTCACCAGTACATGCCGACTTGATTTCCACCAGTACATGCCGACTTGATTTACACCAGTACATGCCGACTTGATTTACGCCAGTACATGCCGACTTGATTTATGCCAGTACATGCCGACTTGATTTCCACCAGTACATGCCGACTTGATTTCCACCAGTACATGCCGACTTGATTTACACCAGTACATGCCGACTTGATCCTCCTGTCTAAGGAGGTTAGGTCATCACCAATGTTGAACGATACATTGAAACCTGTCCATGGGTGGCACCCACAAACCCCGTCACCTGAGCGTGCGGGCGCACAAACGTGCACGCACACACGCACACGGGTAATGTTCACGGCCGAGCGGATGGTTTTCTCGGCAGGCACCTGTGTGTACTGCGCAATACCATTAACTGTTACATTATACCGGTCAATGTATATGAGGCCAGTCCATTGAGTTGGCTAACGGCTTACAGGGGAGAAGTGATTGACTCGGTCTGTTACTTTATCGAGGTGCATTCAACCTTTGCTGTCCTTCTTGTCACAATGCTTTTATTGTTGCTGTCGCAGATCACACACCATTACCAGTATCCGCCGAACATGACTAAAGTGTATTCGTACTTTGAGTCGCGAGGCGGCGTCTTTCCCGAGATCCTGTTCTTCGGCTTGCAGTACTACCTCAAGGTATGTCGTTTGTGCTACATGTGTGTATGGATTCAGCGAGTGAGATTCTTACTTAGTCTTTGGCCACTGTGATGGGTCTAACTTCACCTCTCGCTGCTCTAGGATGTGCACCAGTGCCCATGTTCTTAGGCTTGTGTTGTACGTGTACGGGTGAGAAAAAGCCACTCTGGCCGACTCCCTTGCCACCGTGGAATTTCCTTTGTATATTGTGCAATCTGTAACTCTGACTTCACTGTCTGTTTGGTGTACAATCATGTGTTATGGCTTAGCTTGTTTCGCTTTAGTCTTCCGCTGCTCTTTTTGCGCTTGGATATGGTGCAGCAAGTATTCAACTTGCTATGGACTCACTTGTTTTCTTGGTTCTCTCTCTATCTCTATTGTTCTCTATTGTTCTCTCTCTCTCTCTGTCTCTCTCTCCCTCTCTCCCTCTCTCCCTCTCTCTCTCTCTCTCTCTCTCTCTCTCTCTCTCTCTCTCTCTCTCTCTCTCTCTCTCTCTCTCTCTCTCTCTCTCTCTCTCTCTCTCTCTCTCTCTCTCTCTCTCTCTCTCTCTCTCTCTCTCTGTATTTGTAGCGCTGGCTTGCCGGCCAGGTAGTAACGGAGCAAAAGATCATCCAGGCTCGGGAAATTCTGAAGCTTCACTTCGGCGCCGATCATTTCAACGAGGAAGGTAAGAATGGAGGCAGTCATGGCGTCATTGACTGTGCATAGGGGGAACATGCAGCTCGTTTCAGTCTTCAGGATTTCCCTTCACATGCAGAGACGGCTTGGTGTAGGTGTGTGCTAAAGGTAGAACGATAATTTTCTTCTTTCGCTGTGGGTTTGACGTGGGTGGTAAACTGGTGACAATAGGGCTTGAAAGTGATGACGTCAAAACGGCCAGGGAGTAGTAAGTTGACATCAGATTTCTATTTTTGGATCCACTAAGGTGTGACTTTGCTATTGCCTAAGTATGTGGGTGCATAGCAACCCACTCATGTCGCATGCAGGTGTGACTTTTATTTCGCCACCAGTTGTAACCCCGCCCCCAGTAGCCAAATCAGTCAGTTTCACTGGTTACATCACCTTGCTGAGAGTAAGACGGCTTGAAATGTGCTTGGATCCATACAAAAACTGGATCCAAGTGGATCCAATTTTTGAATTTTTGAAATTGTTGCTATGCTGTGACGTAGCACTTTCAAGCCCTATTGATCCTTTTACATACAGTGGCGGTCGGTATGACAAGAAGACTGTGTCTCTGCCAAGCGCTGTACCTAGTGTGCCATGTGAATTGGGTACAATTTCTCGCCGTGGTGGCATGCCCGTTATGTCCTCAATGAGTCCCTAGCATCGTGGATGTGCAGTCATGCTCAATGAAATCCAGTCGCGTCACTCAAGTTTGCGTAGTGCACCAGTTCGCAGCCCAGTTCGCAGGTCTTGGGCTGCGCAATGTCCGGCGCTTGCTTGACTGACGCGACTGGATTTCATTGAGCAGCACTGTCTAATCCTTTATGAACTCAATGAGTCCTAGGATCACGGACGTATACCCATTGTGTCCTCAACGAATCACTAACATCTCGGACGTTGCCTTTGTTGTGTCCATTCACTACCCTGCAGGTTGGCGATACATACTGGAGAAGCACGGAGGACGTTTACCGATCCGCGTCAAGTCCGTACCGGAGGGAACACTGGTCAACGTAAAGAACGGTGGGTGATTTCCAGCCCCAGTAGCAAGTCCAGCCCCAGTAGCAAGTCCAGCTCCAGTAGCAAGTCCAGCCCCAGTAGCAAGTCCAGCCCCATATGTGATATGTGCAACGCTCATAACGAGAGAGCTCAGCCCAGGAGCCTTCGCGGTGCTTGATCGTTGCCTACCTGACATTGTACTGTTGCGAGCGTTGAAATCCGTTGAGAAGTCAAGCTGCCACGGGGCGCTGGCCGTGCAGCCGTGAGCACTGCTAGTCCATTGTTTGCAGTGTCACAGTGTGTAGGCGCTCAGCACGTAAGAGCGCCGGCCCCTGTCATTCCGCCGGGCTTCTATGTCCAAAACAGTTGGTCATCAACAAGAGCAATCATCTAGATGTGTCACGAGTGAGCGCCGAAGTCCCCCCTTTGGTGTGCCGCTGGCCCGTCACGTTACATGCGAACATACACGGCGCGCGCGCACACGCACACATACTCAATAAAGCGTTGGACCCTGGCCTGCGCCAGACGCTACTTTTCGTAACGTCTTCTGCATAGCTACGGGAATAAAAAAAAAAAAAAAGGTGATGAAGGTGTGGGTGTTTGGTGTTTGTTGTTGCTTCAGTTCTCTTCACTGTGGAGAACACGGATCCCAATGTTGCATGGCTGCCAAACTATCTGGAGGTAAGCGACCAGTGGTGGGGACATCTACTTGTTGCATGCCGTGAACTGCAGACGCGAAGTGATTCTTTTTAGATAAAAGCTGTGTTCGGACATGCCGGTTTTGTGTATATTCTTTTACAACCTTTGGTCCCTGTTGAAGGGAAACGGAGCATTCAGTTGTGGATATGTACCCGACAATGCTGTTGATGTTTGCATAAACTGAACCAGTGTGTGTGTCCGTGTGTGTGTGTGTGTGTGTGTTCGTGTACGTACAGACGTTGTTTGTTCAAACATGGTACCCCATGACGGTAGCCACAAACTCTTTTGCTATGAAGGTGATCCTGGCCAGCGTAAGTTGAGTGTGTGCTAGTTGATAATCACAGCTCTGGTAGCGTTAGGTGCTGGTGGTGGTTGTGGGTGCTCTTGTAACGATAGGATTTGTTGGTGGTGCTGCTGCTGCTGGTGGTGCTGGTATTGCGCTGCTGGTATCGCTGGTGTTGGTAGTGCTGGTCCTCCTGCTCCTCCTGCTGCTGGTGGTGGGTGTTCTTGTAACATAGATTTTGTTGGTGCTGGTGCTTGTATTGCTGTTGTTGGTGGCGGCGGTGGTGGTTGAATCATCGTGTATGATAACTGTTGATAAGTATGGAGACAAGCAACCCACACCAACCCAGCCAAGAACTGTAGGTTACTCGGTAAACTGTTGCATTCTCTATCTGGGCGACGTGACCCTGTTTTGGGTGAAACGCCTAGCAACGTAGCTGTTTTGCTCCACCTGCTGTAGTGTTGTTGCCAGTTTTTGCTGCGTTTTGCCTGCTTGAGAAACATTCACCAGTACCTGTATGTCACCACTTCGAGTATGATGATTTTGAGCGTGTGGTGAGAGGCTTGTTATGCCTAGTAAGGGTGCAGCTGTTCCTCCAACTTGATAACACTCTGTGACGTGTTGCGCGTTTGTTTTGTTTCTCCGCTCACACAGTATCTGCATGATACGGCGGAATCATTGGATGGTCTGCCATTCAAGCTCCATGATTTCGGCTTCCGCGGTGTTTCCTCGCATGAGGTAAGCCTCCCTCAGACAATGCGTTTTCTGGAACCTACATTCAATTTCATGTGTGTGGGTTTCCCAATAAGAAATATCTGCTTCGTTATGGTAGAGATTGAATAGCATCGCACTGATTTTAGCATTGCAATACTGATCCGGATTAGCCGCTTTCCAGCTTGAACGTACGGCCTGGCCACTGGAATGTGTGTCTGCGCTTTGATGCCTGTGTGCCTGTGTTTGTATGTGCGCGTCAATGTGGGTGTGTGTGCGTGTGTGGTTGTGTGTGCATGCGTGTGTGGTTGTGTGTGTGCGTGTGGTCATGTCCTTTATTGATGTGTATTGTATTTAGTCTGCTGGTCTGGGTGGCATGTCGCATTTGGTGAACTTTGCTGGAACCGACACGTTGTCTGGATTAGTTGCAGCAAGGTACGTAGACTTTGGGCAACTTCCCTGGGCTCGTGTGCATTTTTACTTTTTAGCCCATGTAATCGTTGCCATTGGACGCGCGCCAAGCCTTGCGCCTGACACATTCTGTCAGGCACGTGTCGCTCACTGTGGTCCTTGGCTGTTTGATGTGATGTATGCTTACACAATGTCTGCGTATGGCCTATTCATTCATGCTGGCATACATAAGTCACAGCCTTGAGCACTCTGTGCTATAGATACCGCATTTCTCCGATTGTAAGTCGCACCTTTTTACACTAAACTTCAGGGGCAACGAAGGGGGTACCATACGACTTACAATCGAGTGTGACTTCTTACTTATTTGAATGCATTGAGACGATTTGGTTCGGACGTGAGAATGGGCTGCGACTATATAATCAAGTGTGACTTATAATCGGGGAAATACGGTATCTGCCATGTTGTTGCGTGTCTTTTTGTGAAATCGAAGGCATGCTGTGCAGTAGGTTAGGGTCTTTGACCAGTCTTAGTCCTCCAGTTTGCTCATGTGTGCTTTGTCTGGTGCATCGTCCGTCGTGATTGTGTGCTTCTCAGGACGTACTATGACTCCAAGATCGCCGGCTTCAGCATCCCCGCCGCTGAACACAGGTATGGCGGTATGGTGTGCACTTATGTGTGTGTGTGTGGGGGGGGGGGGGGGGGGGGTAGGATTTTTCAATGCGGTTGACTGCCAATTCTGAAGATACGCATCTTGTGTACATTGAGCGATTTCACTCAATTTGCAGTTCACTAGAGGGATGTCTGAGTATCAGGTTGCAGCCTCCGTGCGAGCCTGTCATCATTTTTTTTTTATTCTTTGCTTTTCGCTTTCCCATGGTGTGTGTGTGTGTGCGTGTGGCTTGGTGTGCGCACGTGTGCACGTGATGCTTTATAAGTTCTTTTTCTCTCTGTCTCTTTCTTTTTCTGGACCCTGACAGCACAATGACATCATGGGGAAAGGACGGCGAGTCGGCTGCATTCCGCAACATGCTGGATCGGGTGAGTGCAAATTCCTATAGAGGTTATGCGAATAATTTCAGGGGATGAGTCAGCAGAACCGCTTAAGGGTCGTCGCAAAAGTTTTTTGTTTTCCCTGGAACGAACATCAGTTGTTGGAGAGGGGGGGGATGTTCGCTTCAGAGACAACAAGAAACTTTTGCAACGACCCCTTACGGGCACTAAGTATACAGGATGAGTCAGTCGCGTATGGCCCTAGGTATACAGAGTAACCAGCGCTATGTTCCGTGTGTGCAGCTTGGTCGCTAGTGCAAGTGTGGCGCTGTGCCGCGACTTTTGCCAAAGCATCTCAGCTGATGATGGAATCGCATGAATCTGGTAACAACAGCCGGTGGTCACTTGCAAAATTACCCTTGCTCATTTGTAATGCGTGCTATTTGTCTTTGCTCGATGTGTAGTTTCCTGAAGGCATGGTGGCTGTCGTTAGTGACTCTTACGACATTTGGTGAGTTCCTGTGTCTGTAACTTCCGGTGATGGATGTGCACGGTAGCGTATGGTCTAGCCGGTATGGTGTGGCGCTTGACGGTGCATGCTTGCCAGGCGGGTGCAGCAGTTTGACTGTGTGCGCTGTAAAGAATTGTTTTAGAGGCTTGCAGTCCTGGCTGTGTCGGTGCACGGGGGCCATATGCGTATCTGTAACCAATCACTGACAGAAGCCCGTTAGAACAACCGTCCGTCGAATCTGCCCTGCACCGTTCCCAGTCGTCCAAAACAACGCTTCTACCCGGTCCTATCTACCCAGCACCTATTGGAGTTGATCTGGCTTCTGCCTTTTTTCCCGATTTTCCTGTGTATCACTCCAGGAATGCTTGTGAGAAAATCTGGGGCGAGGAGCTGAAGGAGCAAGTCATCAAGCGAGGAGAGAAAGGTCTGTTGTGTGACCTTTTATTAGTATTATTATAATGCTTGTTCGCGTTGACATCACCAAGCAAGCTTGGCTAGCCTTCGCATAAGCCGAATGAACAAAAGAAAAGGGAAACGAGCGAAGCCAATGTGTTGCCTTTGCCAATTTCGTAAAGCCTGCTGTGTACTTGAGTTCACGCACGGGAAACACTTTACAATGCGTATGATGACGGTGACGCGATTGATCGGTCCAGTGGACCTCATGTCAATGTTTTATTCTTTAATTTGCCTGAGAAGATGGCGGCCATGAATTGTTTATTTTTGTTTTTCTCCAGTCAAAGCCAGTTGTGGGTTTGGAGTTTCTTGAAAGTTGTCGACATTGGAAACGGTTTGGAATAGTTTTGCTTGGTTGGCTGACTGTAAACACCTGTTCTTTGCTGCTGCTGCTGCTGCTGCTGCTGCTGCTGTTGCTGCTGTTGTTGCTGCTGCTGTTGTTGCTGCTGTTGTTGCGATCATTACGCACTCTTGTCCTATTGTAGGTGGTGTTCTTGTTATTCGACCGGACTCCGGTGACCCAGCGACGACGGTTTGCCAAGTCCTCGACATTCTCGGTAAGCAATGTTCTATCATGGCTGTCTTCCCCCTGTCTGTATATCATCATGTGCTAACTTCAAAGTGCTCAACACACGTTCCTCCATCGTGCAGTGTGTTCGCTACATACACACACCGTGCTAGACCCTACCTGGTCCCCTTGAGGCTGCTGTGTGTACTGACATGGTAGTTTGATTTTCTTCTTCTCCAACATGTGAAGAGCTCCAATTCAAAACGCGATAAAGACCAAACCGGAGCTTTTGCGTTTTTTTGTCACGAAAGAATTAGTTTTTTTCAGCCCACGGACGTCTGTGTGTCGGTTTTACGGGTCAAAACGCGATACATCCCAGTCAAAATGATGCCTGAAGTTTGTGTTTTTCTGCAAAACGCGATAAAAGTCACTGATGCTGCAGTGCAGACCGAAGGGAAAAAAAAGGAAAAAAATCCTCTTCCGAAAAGAAGTTGCATGCTCCGTACTCATGTGAATGTCTCTGTGCTTTGGTCCTGCTCCGTCTCAGGAAAGAAGTTTGGATTTGAGATGAACAGCAAAGGTTTCAAGCAATTACCGAAGTACCTCAGAGTGATCCAGGTCAGTTGGTGTGTGTGGGGGGGGGGGGGGGTGCGCATGGGCGCGCTCAAGGCTACGCGATAGTCCATTCGCTAGCATTGCCATCGGCAATTGACATGATCAAGGTTCAAGGGATGTAAGTCTGCATTTACATACTGTTCATTGATCTTATATAACGGCGTCGACAAATCTATTGAGAGGATGTTTGCCGGTATCTAGTTATTTTACTTCATTTGTAAACTGGTTTCTCTCCTGTGCATTGTATCGCATAATGCTTTGTGGGTGTTCTTAGGGAGATGGCATCAGCTATGAAACGTTTGAGAAGATCCTCGCCGCAATCAAGGCCCACGGCTGGAGCATGGAGAACCTCGCTTTCGGCAGTGGTGGTGAGTCCCTCCATGCACAGTGTGCAAAACCCATACTCTTTGGTTGTGAAGCAAGAGGACATAACCCCCCAGCAGTGTACTGTCCCGGTAGAATTTTGTCATATGACGAAATTCTGTCATATTTCAGGGTGCAATGCGTATTGTACGTGTGCCGTAAAATCCCGCCAGAGAGCCCCGTCTCTCCCATGCGTCCCTTCCTGACTTCTAGTCGGGGAAGTGAGATTCCTCTTGTGACTCTGTGAAGTGTGATGGCGTACCGCACTGCAGACGCGGGCTCGACCCCGTTGGAAATGTACACGACAGTTCCCACCCTCTTGACCAGGGATCGCACAAACCCTGGGTTTTGGTGGGTCTGTACAACTCCCTGCTCTTGACCTTTGGTCGGTGTACAAGACGCACGCACAGTTTTCGTAAGGTGAGTACTTTTTTATGTAGTACCGAATGCGGCAAGTAGGACCCGCCCATCCGCCCCTCCCCACCTGGACCTACTAGTACTTGAAGGGTTGCGGAAGTAGGGACGCTCTGGCAGGATTTTATGGTACACAAAAATCAGACGCATCATGGACCTGTGATGGACAAATCCGGTTTGCTCTTGTTCAAGAAAACACGTGTGATGCGTTGAACCCTGTACAAACATCGTAAATCATTCGTGCGAGGAGCATTGCATCGTAAAAAATGACGTCAACTTTAAAATCCTTCGGGACAGCCGGTTGCGTGGGAGGTGCACACTCCCGGAGTAAGGGGGTATGTACTCTTGTTGTATGGTGATGCCTTTTTCACTAGATGAGTGTGATTATCATCTCTTGATCGAGGGTTGTTGTCTCAGGTAGCGTGGCCGAGTGGTCTAAGGCGCTGGATTAAGGCTCCAGTCTCTCCGGAGGCGTGGGTTCGAATCCCACCGCTGCCAGGATTAATTTTTTTCTTCTCATTCGTGCCATTATAGCTGTTTTCCTACTCACTGTATAAGGGGCCGTCCGGGGTTACCGATTGTTTTTACAAAACGAAAAGTTTTAGTATTTTTCAGCCCCCACCCACCCACCCACCTTTTCTGCAGGTAAAACGAATTCCAATAAAATATTGATGTCAATTTTCGACATCCAGAAGTAACTGGGCATTCTCAATCAGCATTCAATAATTATTTTCAAAACGAAACACCATCAAACCCACCCACCCACAAACGAAAACATTTCGTTTTGAAAATATTATTGGTAACCTCGGACAGCCCCTAAGCAGAAATAATTCGTCTGGAATTATTTAATTTCGTCTCTTTCGTCCCAGGAGCTTTTGGACAAAATTAACTGCTGGACTAATGTCGATTTGTCCAGCTTTTCAATACACTCCTATTATCAAGAGTACATAACCCCAAGAGTGTGCAACTCCAGCTATGGGGTCTGCGACAGCAGAACTTCACATCACGTGATGAACCCGTGCACTCTGTGCATGATAGATACTGGGTTGTACGCAGCCCAGCTTTGGGTACAACTCTCTTGTGGTCACTTTGCACTATTTGCCAGCATAACCTTTTGAACCATGTCACGTGATGTGAAGTTCTGCCGTCGCAGCACAGCATAGAGGTTGTGCAGGCAGTTGCACACTCTTAGGGTTATGTACTCTTGCTATTATCCATAGACGAAATTTACAACCGGACGAACTCCTTTTCTTTGGAGTTGGACGAAATTGTTGACCGACGAAATGTTCTGCCTCTACAGTATTTCTCTAATGGTCGAATGTTGTTTTCTCCCTTTTTTTTCTTTTTTCTTCTTTTTTCTTCATTTTTGGATTAGGTGGTCTACTGCAGAGGATAAACCGTGACACACAGAAAGTTGCCATGAAGTGCAGCTATGCAGTGGTGGATGGCAAAGGTATGTACCATGCTTGGCAATGAAGTACGGACGTTGTGAGTCGACTAGCGCCGAGCACTGTTCACACCCGGGCCTAACATAAAACCTTTGGGCAGTGGACGTGTGCCGGGCGCTAGCTTTTGTGCATAGTTCATTGAGCGCAGATGGTCGATGAGCGGCCAGATGCCGTACGTGCACTGGTGCTGAAACGAAATGTGTGTGTGTGCGTGTGTGTGTGTGTGTGCCGCTGCAAGCACTCTGAAGGCAATTATACCGATCTAAGTCACCTGGTTGCTTGCAGCTCCGCTGCTGCCCCCCCACCCTCAGTACCTACTTTGAACATCTTGTTCTTCCTCTTTGCTTTGAGCGCCAGTATGCTCGTTCCCAAAGAGGAGTAACGCAGCACTGTGATGTGTCTTGTTGATGGCAATGTATTGTGTGTGTGTGTGTGTGTGTGTGTGTGTGTGTGTGTGTGTGTGTGTGTGTCAGGTATGAATGTGTTCAAGCAGCCGATCACTGATCCTGGCAAGACGAGTAAGAAGGGACTGCTCACACTTCAACCAACAGGCGTGGACGGCAAGTTCGAGACTATCCAAGAGGGAAAAGGCGATCCCGAGAAGGTAAGAAAGAAAGAAAGATGCGGTTGTGGATTTGGGTCGAACATCGTGTGCAAGCGTGTGTATGATCGAGGGAGCTGCCTCGCTGGTGTAGTTTCCGCATCGTACAACGCATATGCACATGCTTCCTTCCTTGTCGTCGCGCATGGGAGTTCGCGTGCACCCCTGCCGACTTAGCTCACTTCAAAACTGTATAAGGTAGCACAATATTGGCCGATTTTGACAATCGATGGCTCAAAATCTTCAGTAGATGCAGTTTAACCGAGGCGATTATTTTCGAACTTAAAGGATTGCTGTAGAGCATTCACGGACTTTGTGACAATATCTTTAGTTTCCCGGGGCCAAAATCAAAAATTCCTTTGGTTGATCCCCTAGTTCAGATCTTGCCTGGTTCCACCCAAATTTTCAGTGTCGTACTGTCTGCCCGTGCTACCTTAGTCTATTTTGAAGAGGCATGTGTCGCACTGAAAATGCGCTGCGAGATGGCTAGAGTTTGTGTACAAGGGGTGGTCGAGCTGTGGTCGCGTGACACTGTCGTCGCGTGAGCTGGCCAGAAACAAAAATGGCGCCCACGTATTTGTACAGAACCGTGAGCCTTGAACTTGTTGTTATTCACCATTTGTCTTTATTCGTGAGGTTGATAGCATCCAGTCAACTGGCCACTAGGCACTAGGCCTGAAGATTGTGTCGTTATTCGTGATTTGTAATTATACACATGAGAGAGTTTGGAAGCTTTGTTACAACTCTGAGTTTCACGTGTTACTACGATCATCAGGCAAGGTTGCCTGATGATCGTAGTAATACGTGAAACTCAGAGTTGTAACAAAAGCTTCCAAACTCTCTCTCTTCTTGTGTACAAGGCTCTGCCCTACATGGGCATTGAGCGCTCTTCGGACAGTGAAGCACACCACTTGACTACATGTACGTGATTTGTAATTATACCCGATTCCGTTACTCCCGAGGTTTACCCTACCTCTTGGCTTACTATTTTACGTTGTCTGTGGTACAGGACGCCATGGTGCCAGTGTTTGAAAACGGCGACCTTCTGCTCGACTGGAAGTTTGATGACATCAAGGCCAAGGCCGAAGCGGCGCTGGCAAGTCGTATATTCTCCACGGCCGACCGAAAGCTCGAGTAATTTTTTTGAGGTTTTAGTAGATGTTCGTCACGCCATTCGCTTTTCGTGGCAATCTTGTGCGCACTGTCTGTGACAGTGCGGTGTAGCAGCCGGGCTGCTGTTGCTGTTGGTGTTGCTGTTGACGGTGTTGAGGAGGCTGTGTGTTTGATATTGCCCGTGTCGCTAGATTTTATTGTGTCCCGCTGTGCGCGCTGCGTTTACTTTAGCCACCAGTACTTGTGTACCGCCGTGCTGGTCTTGGCGAGAAACAGGAGCCCCATGTGGCTAGTGTATATCCATAGGTCTGTACCCTTTCCTGGCACTTGTTTCTCTCTCTCTCTCCTTATTCGGCTCTGTTTTCCGGCTCTCATCTCTGCTGTGATGAGACCAATCCCCTCCCCGGGCCGGGCTCACGCTTTGAGTTTGTTCCCAGCCTTCTAGGTGTATCTAGGTCGTAGCATTTGCTTTTCAGAAGAAACCCTTATTTTTTTAGATCTCATATTCGTTTTTTAGTTGCCCACGGTAGCCGTGCACCTGTGGACGGGTTCACTGCTTCCAGCGCGCGCCCCAGATATACCTTGGAAGAAAGGTTTTTTTTTTAAAATTCTTTCAGCTATTTTACAGCCTGCTTTTATTGTCTCGTGTTTGGAAATGCTCACACTGGATCTTTGTCAGCGGATGACGTGACCGGGCAGAGCCTGCTAATTTGTTGAAACGATCCACACTCATGAAACACATCCTAGGCGGCAGAAGTTCTGACCTTTTTTCTTCCTTCTTCTGGTATTTTTATGGCTTGACTTGGCTTTTACACATTGCAAATTTTTGGCTGTTATATTTCATGGTATCTTGTTATCTGCTTACTGCGTTTACTCTCTGTTCTGCTCGTTTTCTTAGCCGTTAGTAATGTGTGTGCATTCTGTTGTAGGCACTGGCTGAAGCTGGCTTCAGCGGTGGCCTGTACCGTGTTCTCTCTATGCGTTGCTACATGTACCAGCGACAAGGGTCATATTATTTTTTGTTGTTGAAAAGTTTTGAGACGCGAACTGTAAGCAATGTGGTTTTGGTTGCTGCTTGAAATCCTATACGCCGGTAACTGGGGTAACTGTGTGGTGTCGGTGAGGTGCCGGGGTGTTTGCTTGTGCGCATGAGTGTGTTGAAGTTGTTTTTTTTTCAGCGGTGTGACTGGCATCCGACACGCCGCACCGGTTAGCCAAATGGAGGAACGTAGGATTCATTACACACTAGCACCATTTAGGGAATAACAGCGTACCCTCGGCCTCTTGTTGCTTCAACCCTGAATTTTTTTAATCAAAATCGGACGGAAAGTAGTATTTAATGCAGTCGACCGGAAGTAAGTTGTGTCGGTCACTATTTATTTTATTTCACCGTCCAATGGCAGAAGCCAATGCAAAGGAGGGGGCCGGGGCATTAGCCAGCCATGGCAAGAGAAGGAAAAAGAAAGAAAAGAACACATCAGCGGAGTGAAATTTATCACTATGTTGACGCGGTATGTTCTAACAATATCGAGATGCCTTTTGTTGGCTCTTCTGCATGGATTTCGTTGACAGATGCGTATTATTATTATTATGACCATGGTGAGATACTGTATAGCAGGACATTTTCGGGCAGAATTTTTTTCGTACGTTTTCGTACACGGCCTCTTTTGTACTAAAATTAATTCCGAACTAAAATTTGTTTATGTGACGTTATGTACACTATACAACACGTGTATTTGGCATGCAGCACTGTACGGAAATTATAATCCGTACGAAAGGTCGAAATTCGGCTTTGTCCGAAAATATTTCCGTCCGAAAATTTCCTGATACAGTAAGCTAGCAAAAGAGGTGAGTGAGCCTACAACTTGGCATGACATTCATAGTCTTTGAACTATGAGTGTGAAGATCCTGGCGATGGTCATAATGATAATAAACGTTGAAGCATAACTTCCTAATTGACTGTGTGACTAAGCGTTCGGCAGTGTCGCCCTCTGACCAAAAGCAATAATATTTCGGTGCAATTTCAGTTTCATCGCGTGTGATCTCAATCCCCTACTTGTACAACCAAGAGTCCTTTTAAAAACATTATGCCCTCTTGGTACAACTGATCCGTGATCGACTGATCGTAATTTAATCCGCGGCGCATGGAGTTGTTTGCTGACATAATGATGTGACGTGAACTGAAGCCAAACGCATGATTCTTACAGTAGACTCGGCACACGGGCACACACACACACACACACACACACACACACACACACACAAACAAAATTAAATAGAAAAAGATACGTTGGTGAATCGTCCTGCTCACACAAAATTCAAAGTTGAGACCGAGAGTGAGGAAGAAATCAAATAATTTGCAAGCGACCTAATTGTAAACGTAACCAATTGTAAAAGGGAATGCCAGTGGCAAGCCTTGTGCTTTGCGACAACAACAAGAGAGCTGATGATACACATTGACGATAAAAAGCGTTAGGTTTTGAGAGAGAATAAAACCCAGCCTCCTGAGCCGAAGTATAGAATGAATTTCAATTTTTAATGCATAAAAGTACGTTTCAGTAAAAAAAAACAGTAGCAAGAAGCTGCAAGCAAGCAAGCAGAAGACAAATTTATTGGGATTGCATTCAGCAAGCCAAATAATTCAAAACAGAGGGCACAGCCGATACTGATCAAGAAGAGGAGAGAAGGAGACAGATATTGGAGCAAGTATAGCTGCACAAACATCCCTAAAGCGTTCATGAAAGGAAGGACGGGCACTGGTTTTCGCTGGAACCAAAAAAGCAAGCAATAACGGGCAAAACGAGGAGGCACGGAGCTGGGCTGGACGGCTCGCTGCACACGCGTACGCATGCTCTAACCGACCGACTATGCGCCTGCATTCTTGTAGTGTCGGCTAGAACGGTGCCAGCGGCGGTGCCTACATGTCAACGAACTTGACATGGCCGCAGCGAGTACAGCGCTGCTCCGATGGCTGACAGCCGGGAATGCAGAAGTTCCACGGGAAGAAGCACAGGCAGAGCAGCCAAGCAGTTGCCGTCCACTGGGGTGGGCCTGCAAGAGAATGGAGCAGAACACCACAGCACAGATGCTCAGAACATTGGATATTCAGAACAAAGGGATAAAAACAAACAATAGGAGGACAGAGAAAGTGACACTTTCTCTGTCCTCCTATTGTTTGAACCAGCTCTACCACTCGGTATTGAGCACTCTCTTGGACAGCCTGGAACCTCTCTGTTTTACAGAACAAAGGGATATTCACATTGCCTAGTACCACCGCAGTTCAAACGGATGCACGCAGGTCAAGAATTCCATACACTATGTACAGAGGCGGGACATGAAATCCAACCCCGTGCGTGCATGGGCACGTATGGTGACACACAGCTGTGGCCTTAGTAAAAAACAAAAAACAAACAAACAAACAAAAAACACGCATGGTGAAAACCGAAAAGCATGCCTGGAGAGCATGCATACCTATCCATTCTGACAGTGAACTGCACAGCCAGTGGTCGGATTTTATTTCCTATCCAGTCCGGCAGTTAACCGCACAGCAAGGGGTTGGATTTCATTTCCCATCCAGTCTGGCACCAAACCGTACAGCCAGAGGATGGATTTCATTTCCCACCACTGAAGTACACAGTTCCTCGCCAGTACAAACCAGCCTGGCTTGCTAGAAAAAACAACAGTTACATGTGAATTGTGAGCAGGATGGCATACACACGTACCCAGAGCTCCTCCGCAGTTAGCACACCCCCCGCCCCCAGTTGTTGTCACGACCACCGTCGACGGACCGGCCGCGGCCGGGGCCGGGGCAGCATTGTAGGCAGGCGGGTTGTTTGCAGACACCTACGCACGCACGTAGCAGAGAAGAGGAAAGGCAGCAAGTCATATGTTAGAAGTGACCCAAGTCCTCTAGGTACATTAGTCTATAGTGTAGTGTTATGACACAAATTTTCAGTACACTTTTATTTTCGGTACTTTTGGCGCGTCTGTTGCGTACCTATAATTTCAATACACCGAACAAACACTTCAACACTAACACACATAATCCGATAGGGAATTGCTTCTCTGTGCCTAAAATTTCTGTTCACCTAACCTGGCCTTTTGCCCTTATACCGAAAATATTGAGCGCCTAAAATTTCTAGAGTTTACACCGGGGTTGTCTAATGATTGCCTGGTATTGTAGTGTATACACCGAGTTGTCTAATGATTGCCTGGTAGTGTAGTGTATACACCGAGTTGTCTAATGATTGCCTGGCGGCATGACGCTCTGAGTTACCCCCAACCCAACCTGAACGTCCGCCGCTGAGTCTGCTATGTACTAAGCTCTGTCTATGACACTGAGCACACCCTGCAGCTCGGGGGATCAACGGATATGTTAGTGTATACATGTACATTTATATCATCCGGATAGGGCTTTGATGTGTAGGTGTCAGAAGACAGCGGATGACGACAAATAATGACTTCTGGAGTCTGCCCCTAGCGAAGTACCAAGTACTAATCCATCTTGTACACACATACCTGCAGAGTAGTCTGGCAGTTTCCACAGGTCAGCAGACCCTGGTGTCCCGGCGGTACACCAAGAGTGGTGTTGCACTTGCCACACACGACCGTTTGCTGCATGCAGAAAATGACAAGACAGTACAGTCAGACCTCGCTTATCCGGTCCTCTTTTATCTGCATCCCTCGCCACCCGGAAGAAAGTCGTTGGTTACCGATTTACAGCATATGTCATGCATATATACAGTATGTATGTTCGATTATCCGGTTCCCTCGCCTATCCGGATACTTTGCGGAAACGGATGTGTGCGGTTAAAATGATGCACAGAATGATGCAAGACAAGGTGAGACACACATGCATGAGCGATACCATGGACTGGTGAAAAGCCTTGAACAAAAAAATGCCACCCAGTTATGAAGCTGTTGTGTGGTTGGTGTTAGAAACACACTTTCTGGGATACCACGTCTTCCTTAAGCTTGAGCAACATGAATACAATTAGCACGTGACATTGATTGCTGTCTCAGTCATTTTGTATATTCCCCGTAAGAGGCCACGAACCGAAGGAGACGAAACGCGACGTTCGGTTCTAAAACGTCCTAGTGTTCATTGGGACTGGTGTGCGCACATGCATGTAGTACATTGAAGAACTGGAGACGCTTCCAATAGTTCTAAACATTGATTCTTCCCTGAATTCATCAGGCTTGCAACGCAGGTGTTTATTTTCTATTTTCGACGATGATCACAGTTGCTGGCACATTGGTTTCCTCCTCTTGCGGTTCACAACTACGGTGCCTGGAACCTTCCGACGCCTTTCGCTAGTGAAGCCTGTGTTCTCTATGTATAGGACTAGCAATAGAAAGCTGAATAAGGGAATACGAACATTCTACGCACACCAGCAATGCTGGACTACCAGTGAACACATGCACTCTCTCTCCCTATCTCTCTGTCTGTCTGTGTGTCTGTCTGTCTGACAGTCTGTCAGTCTGTCAGTCTGTCAGTCTGTCTGTCAATGCTGGACTACCAGTGAACACATGCACTCTCTCTCCCTATCTCTCTCTCTCTGTCTGTCAGTCTGTCTGTCTGTCTGTCTGACAGTCTGTCAGTCTGTCTGTCTGTCTGTCTGTCAGTAGGGATCTCAGCGCGTGAACTGCGCAGCCAGTCTGCGCAGGTGAGATTTTCGATCCCAAACGCGTCCAGTGCAGAAATCGTGGAAAAGAACATTTTTTTCGAAATAAATCAAGTTGAAGAAGACAGTAGAAATGGCTGAATATTGCGTCCAGGAAAGCACGTTCTACGCTCATCTCCAAGCTACCTATCTCCCAGACACTCTCTCAGAGGAACTATGGAGGGTCAAAGAGCTCAATCTTTCACTCTTGGACGCAGCGTGAACACCTCTTCTACTGAGCGCGATGTCTTCTCTCCGAGTGATAATGGCGGCGATGTTCGCGATGGCTGATGCACTGAAAATCGAAGTTAGGAAAATCTAACCGGAGAAAACGTCTGAATTTTTGACTGAATCCTCTCTGAAGTGGGTTCTTGCCGCATGGAAAATTATAGGAAAATCGACCGGGGCAATATCGCCTTGGCCACGCTGTCCTTCGGCGGGAATTACAAAGTATGTTCGAACGACGATGAAGATGACGATTCCGCTAGTGTCCACCGCGTCCCCTAGTGTCGAAAATCGACCGTCGCCATTTTTCTGCTGTGTCCGCGAGCTGCACTCAAAACTCGATGACGCAATGTATGCGCAAACACCCTGCGCACTGCACGCGCTGAGATCCCTACTGTCAGTCTGTGTGTGTGTGTGTGCGTGTGTGTGTGTCTCTCTCTCTCTCTCTCTCTCTCTCTCTCTCTCTCTCACTCTCACTCTCTCTCTCACTCTCTCTCTCTCACTCTCTCACTCTCTCTCTCTCACTCTCTCACTCTCTCTCGAGTACAGTAGGAATATTCCTGCGTACACGGACTGTGATTTGGACACACTCCACGGAGAAATGCAATCCAGGATGCCAATGGAGTGCTGCATCAACCTACAGTTGAATGCCAGAACTAGAAAGTGCCGCTGTGCGCCTTTTGCTTTACGTGTTTTCAATGTTCACACTATCACTAATCAGTCAAAAGGAGAGAAAATAGGAGAGAGCATCTTTGCGCAAACGAAAGCCGCAGTAGAGTCCGCCAGTGCACTTGCGCCGCCGCGGAGACTTCGTTGTGCGAACTGAAAAGCACCAAAATCGAAAATTGAGAAGGGGCAGTACTTTTTCACAGGAGGTGGGGTGTCATCAGAGAAAGGGGACGCTGCACACCCCTACATGTACACCCCTCCCCCCCCCCCTTGGCTAGAACCCTACCATCAATCATATCGAGTAGCAACTAACAAGCTAAGACAGATGATTCTTTGTCATTCCACAGGGCTACGCATGGCTTATTTGCTGCAGGTTTGAATTCGCAACGGTCCACAACAGGAAAGAGATTTCCAGGTATCCGAGTTTGGCGTCATAGAATTATTTTGGTTCATGGCCGATTCATATTCTTGCATTGAGCCCAGGATGAATCACCTCACGTATAAATGAATAACCCTGTTTCAAATGATTCCATACGAAGGGCTGGTTCATGGAGAGCTGTTCAAGTACGGGTGGAGAAGGGAGCAGAGCCTAGATAACTGCAACAAAGACATTATTCGAGCATGACTCACAAAGGTCAACACTGAGCGCAGCATGTATCACCAAAATCACCGAATCATCCGTGGTAGCGTGTGCAGGACCAATAATTATTTTAGAGGGTCAAACAAATCTACATTTTCTCGCCCCGTAGTGCTCTACATCGTCCATCCACGCGCTAGCAGTTACAGCATTCGTGCAGATGTGAACGTTCTCCAATAAAGACTGAAGAAAAGGCTTCGGTCAGTAGGCATTCAGATTCACCTATCCCTGACCGGTCGCATGTTCGTGTACGCCGGCGATTTGAAGCCAGATGTGCCCTCCCAAAGTGCGTTTGACACCACTGAACACGCGCATCAGTATGGGCTCAACTGACCTGCATCGGCCGCCATTTCCGACTGGCCACAAACAAGAGAAGGCGCAACCAGTACCCGACGAGTGAATAGAACAGGGAGACGCCGGTTGTTGGCGAGTGACAACCAGCAACACAAACTCTTTCGATCAATTTTCGGAACACACGTGCGCAGTTATATTTCAGATCCTCTACAACAGAAAACGTTATTGAACAAAGCAACATCTCGCCGGAACACCCATGATTCTAGATGCATTTATTTTTCTACTCGATTCGCCAGTCGCAACGGTCGTACGGAGGGAAAACGACGCTGAGAAACGCTCAGGAACATTTAGAAATACTGTATACGTGCTTCGTTGTTTTTCATACTCACTATGCTGCACACAAACAAGTACAGTGGTCCCTCTATTCCGGCACCATTTGTGCCACGGAAAACCTGCTGGATTAGGGAGGGTGCTGGATTAACAAATCTGATTTACTGCTGCAATGTGCATGAAGAGGACATTTTGGCTACTGAAAATTGTGCTGGTTTATCGAGGGTGCTGGATTATAAAGTGCTGGATTAGAGAGGGACGACTGTACTAGTATTCCGCACAACCAGCCGCAATCGGAATCATCGAAGCAGAGATTCGCCTTCTAATGATCGTTAGACCGAGCACAAATCCATGTCCACAACGAGGGAGAGAAACGTTCCCGCTTCGGATATTCATCTAGCTGGGCCTGGTTCCGCAAACCACTACGGGATTAATCACGGAGAACAAAACCTCTTTCTTTAGTTCGCTCACTCGATGTCTAATAGCGGACCACTTTAATTCCGTTGGGTAAGACCGGACACCTGGATAGTTCACCCCAACGACACAAACGAAGACAACCTCACCACACCCCCTGAAGGATCTCTCAGCGACCCATGATGTAGAGAACAGGTCAATATCTAGCCGTTCTGTACGCTCCTGCGATGATTCCTCAAGACCCCGCCAAAGGGCGGCGGGACGCACGCACGCACACTGAGAAGGGGCCGAACAAGAAGTCCCCACCACGGGCCCAACTCCAAGCATCAGGAAGACATTGAGAGGAGCCGCTACAGGGAGAATGATCTCCGCATGAAGGACAGAGATACTAGCGAATCAAGGAAACAAGCCATGCTCCATGGCATAAAGCAATGCGCCAGTAACTAAATCTAAAGTGTAGAACATTTCTTTGAGTCGCTCAATGCAAGCAAGTACGTTCTATACCAGCTCCCGACTACCCCAAGATCAATACAAGGGGAATGACTTACCGAAGACATCTTGATATGATTGGAAGAACGAGTTAAGGTCACAGCAAACACTCCTTTGCCAATGGAAGCAAACTTCGAGTCTTCAGTCAACAAAAAAGAACACACACTGCCGGTCTACGCTACAGGATCCGCAAGAGATAGAGCTACCTAGCTTGAGCCGGAGGATGTGCGCTCAAAATCAAACTGTGAGTGCGAGCGCGAGCGCTAGCGCGCTCCATCACGGCATCAGTGCCATCACTGCATCAAACATCACTCATCAGTCCATGACACGCCGCTCACACATACTACATGACTGTAATGTATACTAATACATTGTACTAGTACTGTAGTGTACAGTGACATACATGTACTGTCAGTGTCAGACAGCGCTAGAGGCGCAGCAGAGGTGCAGCAAAGGCAGCGCTCAGCGCCAGCTGATCGAACACGAGTAGACGTTTGATTACATCTGACATGCACCCACGCTTGTTACTTACATGTAGTTGTATAAATACTTCGCGAAGGGCTGTGATTGGCTAGTAGAACATCATACATGAACATGACTGTTTTGATTGGATTTCTGACATGGACACGCATTTCGATCTTCCTATCACGCTTGAAAGCACGACTCAACCTTTTCGAGACAGAATCGAGTAAAAAAAAAGCGAGCTTGATCAGCAAATCGAAGCCCTAGACTAGTGCCAGTATACATGGTATACAGTACTACTAGGCAGTAGTGGAGCGGGCTTTGATGGGAAAATCAAAGCCCGGCTCCACTAAAATTAATAATTTTAAAATTACTAGTACTGAGTAGTAGTAAAATAAGGAGTTCTACTAAGACTTCTTGTAGCATGCTTTGATCGCCTCATCTAGGCCCTGCTAGGCATATGCGGATACTGCCGGCAGAAAAATTGGCAGAATTCGGTACTTTTTCTGGTAAGTTTCATGCATGCTTGGTATGTGGATAAACAAATGGAGCAGAATTCGAGGAATTGCCCGCCATAAGGTTTGTATGGTTCTGCCAATTTCACTGCTTTTCGAGCAGAATCTGCCACCTTTTCGAGCAGAATCCGCCGATGCCTAGTACTACATAATTATACTACATGTACATGTACATATACCGGTATATGTAGGTGCAATCCGATTGGTCACCTCCGTGCCTACGTAACGTCGTTACGTAGCTGCAGTCTTGTGACGTCTTGACATGTCAGAATTTTTTTCGCACAATCATGCATTCCGTGCATAATCACTGACCGTGCTTTCATCAGCTCACTGGATGTAGACTAGATTGTAGTGCATGACACCAGACTAGCAGACAGTACTATTACTAGTATTAGAGACTACGGTTTGACCAGGGTCCAGGGAGTCGTGAAACTGAAAGCTTTTCAGGTTTTCTTTTGCACAACTGCCCAGATTCAATGAATATTATTGCTCATGTGTCCCATTCCATGGTTGTGTTTGTTCGGGAGATGAACAAGATGAATCGTTCCCTTTGCCGGCGTCATCTCGACTTCAGTTTGACAGGGTGCAAGGCCACGCAATGCGCAGGATCTGCATTATGCATAGCGCGGTCAATGACAAGTCAATCATCGACTCAATGGCTCAATGCACGAGATATGCATGTCAGTCACGTGTGGTTAGATCACTAATGCACGCGACCGACCACACTACAATGACGTCATAATGGTTATGAGTAGTTTTTTTAGTACCTCAACTATTATTATTACGGTCTCTTTGCTGCATACGTGACTATACATGTACACGTAGTTAGCAGGTCTCGTTCATCTACTAGATACTGCATCAGTGTATGTACATGTATGTGCCCATCCATGCCCTAGCCTAGGCCTAGTGCCGCAGTGGATCAGGCCCTCGAGTCTAGAACAACTCATGATTGCCTCTACCTGTTTTCATGGTACTACAACATACTGAGCAACAATGCATTCCCGAAAAAGACCCAATACATGTACTTGTACTGCAATAGACTATTAGTCCTTGGGTCAGAGCATTGCGAATCATGTCACATGTCCATGTAAACCCAGGCATTTCGTTTGGACTGCTTTTACAGCTACATGTACACGTACGTTCTACATACGGCGGCGATTGTGATTATGGTGATGCTCCATGACTCCATTCAAGGGCCCGTTTCTATTCAGCTTTGTGCCATCCCAGTGTTCGTACTGTAGCGGACATGGAAATCCAGTCGATTGACGCGGGGCCGGTGCCCTCAGCTCGTACAGAGCGCTGCGTGCAGTGCACATGTTGATCCGATGGGACCAGTGCGCTGCAGCGCATAAATGCATGTGTGTGCTGTTTACCCATGGCTGCATGGCCAGCGCCCTGGGGCCGCTAGACGTGCGACCGGATTTCCATGTCCACGACAGTAGATCTAGGGCTGCACAGCTCTCTGTGTGTTACTATGACTTGCTTGAGAGAGAGAGAGAGAGAGAGAGAGAGAGAGAGAGAGAGAGAGAGAGAGAGAGAGAGAGAGAGAGAGAGAGAGAGAGAGAGAGAGAGAGAGAGAGAGAGAGAGAGAGAGAGAGAGAGAGAGAGAGAGAGAGAGACGAGCCGAGACCAAAATTAATATAAACGGATTTTATGCACCCTTTTCAATTGTCCCTTGAACCACCTGGGCTCCAAAACTACAGTAGTTGAGACTCGTCGGCATCAAGGTTTGAGCATAGAAACCCAGTTCGATTGTCAACATTTATGATCAAGGATCAACAAGTAATAGAGAAGAGCTCATCAGAAAACAGCCTATTCAACATCACTTCCACTAGGTACTCACAAATTCAAAGATAATAACGGCTATCAAGGTAGACTGTTTCAATTAGCAAACAGCGTGTTATGATCAAGGTGAGTCAGGCTGAAAGCCGGTACTCAAATGCTAAGCCGGAAGTCCGCTGTACTGTTACGGAGTTTACTCTCCGCGATGAACACATCGAAGGAGATGACTGGAAGCGCATCATTTCCAGGGTAGGATCTCTCCGGACTCACCAGCTATACCCCTTTTTTTGTGTGCGATGAAACGCAATCCGTCCTGATCAAGAGCGACCATAACTCGCCAACGGAAGAACCCTACACACAGCATCAGACTCACTGCATTAAATAGCATGTTACTTTGGGGGCTCATCGTCAAGTAATACTCGTGACAGTCATCTGCCCAGGTCCAGGAACACCGTGCGTCACGTTCGTCGCTTCTTCCCCAGCACGTCAAGCGGTGGTAGGATGGATGAGGACGGCTGTCGCCGTTGATGCTGCTGCTGTTGCTGTTGCTGTGCATGCGCTCTTGGCTGAGTCTTTCGGCGCTGGTGCTTGAACGGCTTGGAGAGCATGGCGCTGCTATGGTGCTGTGCACCCCGCGCCGTCATCTTGTCTCGCTCCCGCTCCGTAACCACAGAAACATCGCCCAGCAGCTGCGGCTGCAGCAGCGACATTGCCGGAGGATTGCCGCTCGTGTGGTGACGGCTGTCGAATAGTCGTCTCCGTGGCAACTGGGTGTTACCAGGGTGAGACGGGTTGCCAGTCACCAGCACTGGGGCATTGTCTGAATTCGCCAGGGCGACGGTGGAGCGCAGTCTTGTCTGCGACTGTGCCAGCTCTAGTGGAGTTGTTTTAGGAATGTTGGGCAAAACGGATTTCGTCGGCGCAACGTGAATACTTCTGGGGCTCATCTCCATGGCACCTGGCACCCAAAGCTCTTCTCTGGGTGGTTGCCGTCGACTACCGAGTGGTCTTGGCGATAACGCGTTGCTTGGGCTGTGGTCAAGTTTGTCTGCGGGTAGTTGGATATGATCAAAGTGGCACACACTGAGCTCGGCTGTTTTGTTCGCGCCCAGGGCGAACTTGCTACGGTGATTGTCCGAGTGGATGTTGATGCGTGATGCAGTTGCGGCTGGCTGCTTGAAGTGAAAAAGCGTTATGCCCTCTGCTTTGACCGGCGGTAGTGGATCGCGGGACGACTGCAGCTGGGCGGGGTGAGAGGCGGTCGTTGCAACGCCTTCCGGGGTTGTGTTGCGCGGGTGAATGCCCCCACCACCACCCCCGGGGCGCCGCTGCTTGGCGTTGATGTCGGCCAGGTGGCTCACGGACGATGTCATCGCGGACTGGGACGTGTCGGTCAAGTTGAGTTGCCGTGCTGCTAGCGATGCCTGCAAGAGCACGAAAAATGCCAAAGCATAATTAATTAACCAGAATGAAAAGGGAACAAAAGTCAGAAGAAAGCCCAAGGCATCAAAATATCGAAAGAGAAACTTGTAGTTCCTTGGTCCTTTCTCTTTTGTATAAATTAATCCTTGGCTCTCCATCCGAGTCCATCAAAGTATCCATCCATATTATGTAGTTTACGTCTGATAAAGTGTTGCTAGACGCTTACAGTATGCAATTTTGCAGTGGCTTCCAAGCCAGTTTGTCGACGTTTTTCTTCTTGTATATTGGCTAAGCAAGTGACATCATTGTATGGAGGACATGTGAGAAAAGAGGTGAAATAAGAGGCACCGCGGACTGGGGCGTAACAGGGCAGTGGTACCACGGGGGAGGGGGGGGGGGGATTTTTCGGCCAACAGGGCACGTTTTAGCACCCAACAAGCTCTCTGGACGGACCGTCCTGTGCGAAAAGTGGTACGACCCTGGTCGCACTGGTCGTACCGAGTGTGACGACGCCCCTCACAGATCAAGCAGGATATGCAAACCCGGGGACGAAACGCCCATCGCTTTTTCGATACTATGATCTCGTGTCGACGCCCTGTATGCCACGACTACCCCAGGCACGAGTGATTCACGAGTGGTGACTTACAGTGCGGAAGTACTGGCTAACGAGTGACTTCATGCCAAGCGCCTGCATCAGGTGAGAGCGTTCGCCAAGGCTGCTTCTCCACTGCAGCTCGGCGTTCTCGGTAACGGCCGCATCACCTGAGAAGTGGACGAGCACGACACAAACGCATGCGCACACGGATATCATACATGTACGGGGCAATGTCACAAAAGAGACTGTGTCAGGTTTCTACTCCCACACCGTGTACAAGAACTGAGACGAGCACGCGATAGTCCGGAGTGGTGGCGATTTAGTGGGTAATCCACACCGGTGCTCTCTCCTGCACTGACTCAGGAATGCTGCAGATACAGTAAAGCCTGTAACTAAAGATCACCGTGACTAGCGACCCGCTTGGTACTACAGACCACTTTGCCGGGCATGGACGGTCTCACATTCATATATGGTTGTGCGGTGCAAACCTGCAAACCTCTAACGAGAGACCACCTGCCACTAAAGACGGCTTTCTCTGGCCCCGAGGGGTGGTCACTAGTCACAGATTTTACTATACGTGCAATGCCACAAACCAGACTGCATCAGGTTTCAACACCCACACCGTGTACATGTACACCTACTCAGACGATTTTGTTAGCTGCTCCCGGCTAATGATGCCCCCTCACACTGGAACACAGGGGTTTTATATGATTGGATAATTTATAGAAGTATTCGATAAGAGTGTAGACAGTAGGAGAACAGGACAACGACAACTCAAGACTAGACTAGAACAGAACAGAACTGGAGCATGCGCTCTTCTATGTGAGTGGCTCATTGCCAAGGGGAACGAGCGGGAAATACGAATAGTGAGTATCCAGGTCGTGGCATAAATACACCTATTACAATTTCACAAGCAATAGTCCTGAGTTCTGGTGTGCTAGTGAGTAGTGTGTAGTGGGTAGTGCATAGTCCACACTGGCACACTCGCATGCACTGACTCAGGACTGCTGCAAGTAGAATGTTTAGGAATACAGGTAAATTATTCTTCTAAAGGTAAAAAAAAAAGGGAGAGAAATAGTATTCGGAAGGTAAAAAAGAAAGAAAAAAGGAGAGAAATAGCATTCGACATGACACAACTCCACGATACGCTCTCAGCAGCCACCCCACAAAGAAAGAAGCTAACACACAATTGAAAATACACGGTGGGCAGTATACACGTATGCTGGTGCATTCAGTTAGAGGCGCAGGTCTCACGCAGTCACAAGGTACAGACAGCGATGGATGTCACTGGCTTCGCAAAAACCCGCACACCCACCCGCACGCATGGACACAAGCGCATGCGCACCCACCCACCCACCCACAGACACACACACACACACTCGCACACACGTACAAACACACACACACACATGCACACAACCCCTAATCAATCGGATAGAGGAGTAGTGAACCGGCAACTTTTAAAGACACCAATCGAATCACGCTCACCGGTATCCCAAGTCAGCACGAACTGTGGATAATTTTTCGGATCGAATCCATCCTCGTTCTTGTCACCATGGGAGACGTGCTTAGATGGTATGGACGCAAATTTCCTCCGGAACGGCAGACCGGTCATCAGTGGCAGTTGCCCTGACGATCTACGATGCTGCAGCTGTTGCTGCTGTTTGGCGGCAATCTCATCCTGTTGATCCCTGCAGGGAATTGCGGGAGAGGGGGGGGGGGGGGCGCAGTGGAGAGGAAATATAAAATTAATACAGTGGTCCCTTGATAATCCGGCACCATCTGTACCATCTGTGCCATGGAAATTCTGCTGGATTAGGGAGGGTGCTGGGTTAAAAAAGCATGTTTTACTGCTGCAATGTGCATGAAGAGGACATTTGGTTGCTGAAAATTCTGCTGATTTATAAAGTGCTGGACTAAAGAGGGTCGACTGTATTTTAAAAGTGTATTAGACTGAAAATGAAGCCTTACGTGTGTACAACACAATGATCTACTACGGAGAGAGGGGATACAAATGTGACCAGGCGATGTTTTTAGCTCTTGCATCGTGACCTGGGATTTAGAAAGAAATCGTCAAGCTGGATGTTTTCTCATGAAATACAGCCAAGTTTGTAAAACTTAGCACGTAGTAGACAAAACAGTTTTTAAAAGCATGTGGAGCTGCAACGGTATAACGGTAGCCAACAGAAAGTTTGCTTGTGCAGTTACAGCTCAATGCAATGGCATTCCTTTTGCTTGAGCAGCAGTCATGAAAAACACATCAGCTAATAATGGATGTGCTAAAAAAACTGTTGTCCAGGGAAAACGGTCAAAATCAAGGGAATTCAGCCTCGTTGGTCCCGGCAACTCAAGCCTCCAGGTTGGCATGCATGCTAGCCCTGAGAATCATATCAACTTGTAAGCGTTGCTGCATGAGACCTACTTGATACTCTTCTGCCTTGCTTTGGATGCAGCTGTTTGCGTGTGAAGGGACGACGCCTGGGCAAAGAACTTGGAGTACATGTCGAAGCAGCCGGGAAAGGGGAAGGCACGCCTAAAAACAGTCAAACACGAAAACAAACAGCAAATCAACCTCAGAGCAGTCCGGAAATTGCTGCTACGCTGGTCGGAGCAGAGCGTGCATCCCGGCAGAATGCACAACTCCGTCGGCGCCATACAGTAGCCTGCACAATGTACAAAAGACTTCAATAAAGCTGCATCGCATTTTTCTCAGACCAAAACCAGTCGACTCAGCGTCCCAAAGACTACAACATATTGGCCAATCGCGGTCATCCGTGCCTTTATAATAACGAAATTGCGCTTTTCGTGACATTTCGCATACAAATCCCCATCTAGTAGGGCGCAGTCACCCAGTACACGAGTTTGATTGGGAATAAAGGAGGAAGGGAGCGTCTCAGCTTCCTCGGACCAAGACCATTCGACTCAGCACCCCCGAAGACTACAACTGGTGAAAAATTGATTTTAGGCTTAACTTCCCCTTTAAATTTCACGGCATGTGAATTTTTGCGTCTCGCACAATTGGGCTGGTTCACAGCAAGAAACGTTCGTGATTTCACCTCTTCAGCTGGACGATGTACTATCAACAATCAATATAGAGCAGTTTGCGGCATTATAATTCTATATTCGCCAATGTTTGATGGTTATGTTATGAAGTAGCTACAGTAGAGCTTGCGCAAATTGAGAAATGTTTGGTCGCGGTAATTTGATAACCGCAATCAATAAGACAAGCTGCATCGACATTACTTTCGTGTATACTTTATTCCTGCAATGTAAAACCGTTTTACAATCCATGAATAAAGTATACACAAATGTTGATTCAGGTCGCGGTAATAGCAACATTTAATCTGCAGCAACACATTTCCACTTTTGAGTAAACTTCTCACCTCCACCCACCACTGTTCTTGAGTTCAAACAGCGATGCTGGCGTCTCTTCCTCCATCTTGTTGCTCTCCTTGCCGTGCGTTTCGTCCGCACTCTGTGTAGAAGTGCCAGGCTTTGCCGTGCCGTGCGCTTCCTCGTCGGCCGTGGATTGCTTGACTTTCGCCGGCGTTGCGCTGTGCTCGCGTCTTTTGCCGCTCGCACCGCCCGAGCTCTTGATTCGGCTCTGCGACGCGTCTTTCAGCTGCTTCGTGAGCCGATCGTGCGCCCGCTGCTTCTCGTCACGGAGGTACTTGGCGCGGTCCAGCGACTCTAGGTTCAGCATGCTGAGAGCGTCGAAGAGCAATCCTTCCTTGATGTCTCTGTCCATCTCTTGATCTGTGTGATAGCTAGGGGAGTGATTGACCTGCAGAAGAAGAAAAAAAGGCAAATTTGTGATGAACAGCCACCCACAGAACAACAATGCACGAGACTGGTTTTATGCAACTCGGAGTATGATGCTAATGCAGTCATCAGGCTACAGATCCTCTGGTGATCAACAAACATCCAAATTGTGGAGACAATCAACTGGTCTTCGCTCACAGAACGTTTTTGTTCGGTTTTGTTGACTATCTGCACGAGATGGTTCCGGGGGTTCCCCCGGGAAATTCTTGAAATTAGGGTTCAAATCCTGCATTCTGGGCACTTTTGGCATTGCGCTAAAAAAAATGGTCCCGCATAAACCGGACCGGCCGGAACGGCTGCTACACTCCTGTTGTAACCCTATTAAAGCGATGCAATATCAGCATTATACTACAGTGCTGGCAACTGAAATCCGACCCCCTTGACGGCGCGTCGCGCCGCCAAGGGGGTCGGATTTCAGTTGCCAGCACTGTATGAGCATTATACTTAGTATATTGGTGACAGGGTGACGATACTCGTTGCGAAATCGAACGTGCAGTATTTGACGGGAGTTCAGTTAAAAAAAGGTTGCGTGTAGCATCCGGTTATGTGACCAACTTATCCCAGATCAAGAACAAATAGCAGAACTCGTTGGTTCTCACGTGGATTCTTACTTCGATCAGCCATGGTTTCAGGTCCCTGTCCAGCATGACATCAAAGCCGAGAATCTCAAAGCAGGCGTTGCAGTCAGCCGGATGCTGCGGGAAGCAGACTTGATAGCTATGCTTTAACACTGGATGGCAGCTGATGATGGTCTTGATGACAACATCCTGCAAAGCCCAAATATGCAACAGTGCAGCCAATATACAAAAGAACATTCAAGGCGAAATAATAATTGACTAGCTTTTAAACACAAACCAAATCCAGAAACGTTAGGCCATCATTTTTTATAGCTATGTTTCGCGTCGTCCGCACGCATACGTTTTGATTTTTTTCGGAAAAAAATAAAAAATCAAACATGCACAGTGAGTGTACGATCGTGCGAGTCATCAGTGTGGACGGCTTGCATACGGCGAAGCTGGGATTCAGAAATGGCCTCTAGCCTACAAAAAAAAGTGCTAGTTTTTTGTAGGCCAGCGTTGGTAAATCGTTTGTTCGGCATCTGGGAGCAATATTCTATGAGCTTACACCAGACCGTATTGATCGCCTAAGCTGAGAGGATGCGTCGTTCCGGAGCTCTTTGTACCGCTGCTGAAGTCTGAGTACAATATTCCAGCGAAGCATAGGCACCAACGGTTGCCTACTCTGTCCAAAGTGAATATTTACTCATGCACTGCTGATAACCCAGATTTTGTGCTTCGATGTATGATTTTTCTTTCGAATGTACACCATGCACGAGCTATTGTGCTATGTACAGTGCATACACCTCTGATGAGCATTTTTTATTATTTTGCAACTTTTTATTTTTTCCACCTCTCGCATATGATTCTGGAAGTTGAACTGACGCGAAACATAGATATAAAAAATGATGGCCTTAGACGATCTTTGGACTTACTTTGGAGCGACACCACCCTAGCTGTTGTACATTGAAAAGTGATTAAAAAACTCCCTGTCCATAGCATTGCCAACATGTCAAAATCTCTCAGAACCAGCCAGTGTACGATGGCAAATGTTCACGGATCACCGTGGCCACACTTACATACCAATTGCTGAAGTTTGATTTCACCATGGTTAATATTTGCGTATTGTTCTTCTCGCAAAGTTAGCAAACATTCATTACAGCGCAAACATTACACTTGAGCGGTCGTCTCAGATAGGTTTCACTGTACCTGAAACCTCCATCAAGTCATACAGCAGAACTGAACAGCAACAAGTGAACACAAGCGTGCACACACACACACACGCACCCCCCCCCCCCCCCCCCCACACACACACACAACCACCACCACCATCACCACACACAACTCTACCTCAATGTCCCGCCAGATCTTTCGCACGTCATGTCCGTTCTTGATGAACCAATCATCCATGGCAATAAGACGCCTGATAGTCACACAAAACAAGCATAAGATAATCAACTCAGCCCAATTAGTCCTCTACCGGCAAAAAGAGGGACGTGAAGTCGTAATACAGTAAAACCTGTAACTAAAGACCACCGTGACTAGCGACCAGCCTGGTACTACCGACCACTTCGCCAGGCATGGACGGTCTCACATCAAGGGGTGGTCGTTAGTTACGGTTTTACTGTACGAGTGAACAGCAGTTCCTACCTCATGTGACGTGGGGAGAATATATTGAATACATCAGAATCCACCAGTCGTTTGGACCCGATTGGGGACACAAAAACGAGCCAGGGACTTGTTCCGCACTCGTTCCTACACCTCTCCGATATATTTCTCGCGTAGTTTCCATGTACAGTAAAGCTATAGAGTACATGTGTGGGGATGTTGATTTACTAGGAATTAACGGTGTCAAGTTTCACTCATCATCAACATGACATGCCAATATCCGCGTACATGGATCCTGCGCCTGACTTGCCATGTGGCCAATAAAGGCAGACACCAAGCGGCAGTGTGAGGTAAATTTAGTACTATTGGTCGCCGAAGATCTGTGGGGGGGGGGGGGGGGGAGGGGGTCAGCTTCCAAGCCTAGACTGTTCCTATGTACAGTGAAACCTGTCTAAGACGACCGGTCAAGGGATCTTCAAAGTGTGGTCTCTGTAACCAGGTGGTCTCTTTATCCAGTGCCATTTGACTAAACACAGCATCCCTTGGTCCTGGCTGCAGTGGTCTTCTGGGACAGGTGGTCGCCTTATCCGAGCGGTCGCCTCCACAGATATTCATGTACTACAATCTACGCGAAGATGAGCCACTGTGAACACACTGCTATGCTGTGCTTCGTGAAATTCATGCCTGTTCGTTCTCGGAGGCTCCGTTGCTCGGCGCTGCATAGTCCTGTAAGTGTTAACAGATGTGATCATTCCCAAAAAGGAAGGTGAAATGCAACATATGTGCCCTGCTCTCGCAGCCCAACAGCTTATTCACAAGTCTGTGACGGGTGCATAACAGTCTCAGACATTATTTCATATCCTAGTATTTTCGACGCTCATTCACTCTGTTGTCGCCGACCTACCGTTTACTACCCGCAATGTCGTCGTGGACAAACTCGCTGCTCAGCTTGTTGATGGAGTAGTTGGTCAGATGCATGCATGACTGACTCTGCACAACAGCAAAACGGCAACAGATAACAGACGCACACAACAGGCACAGCTTGTTGTCAGGATATAGCGCTTACCTTGGCTGCACCATTTTTGACTCAACAACCCCCAGATAGGCATCATGATCATTATGGTGGATATAAAAATATTATTTCGAAGTAAGAGTTCATTTTAGTCCCCTCCCCCCCCCCCCCACTGGTGACTAGAGAAACGAGGTCGAGTTACCATAGCAACACATGGAGGTGAAGTCAACACACAGAGTTACCATGGCAAACATGGCTACAGAGCAAGCGGTTGCCTCAACGAACATGCAGGAGATTACATGCACACTATTACAGTCAGACCTCGCATAACCGCACACATCCGTTTCCCACAAAACTACCCGGATAGGCGAGGGAACCGGATAATCGAGCACACATACTGCATGTATGCATGCCATATGCTGTAAATCGGTAACCAATGATTTTCTTCAGGATGGCAAGGGATCCGGATAAAAGAGGACCGGAAAAGCGAGGTCTGACTGTACACAGGGTCTGACTGTTTCTTCAACACACAGTCGACTCTTGATAATTATTATAACGAACACCATTGTTTTAGGAAATTAGAGGCCACATGCCACGTACTGCTCTCTTCACTCCAAAACTCAACACTTGCAAGCCAGATATGAATGAAAGAAAAAATCATCAGTCACACCACCGGGACTCGAACCAGGGATCTTGCTATTCGCGAGCAATGCTCTAACCAACTGAGCTACAGTATGACTCTTATCCACAGTGATGGTAAATCTATCCTTCTTCGATCAATCCATATCTGGCTTGCATCATACTGGCAACTCACACCAATCAAGAGGGCCCTCGGCCATTCACTTGATATCATGGGGAGTGCATCAAACTATGTCCATTGCGAGCAAATACAAATTGCAATTTCAAATTTGGACTTTGCAAGTTTTGAGTTTCGGAGAGAAAAGAGCAGTACGTGGCATGTGGCCTCTAATTTCCTAAAACTTTGAAATTCTCCGGGAAGTCCAAATTTGAACACCATCGTGAAGGAGAACTCGTACTTTATAGCCAAAGTTCTTTATAACAGAAGTGTATTCAGACCATACAAGCAACATGTCCTGACGGGCACATGGTCCATGACTGTATGAATGCACAGTCAGACCTTGCTTATCCACTCATCTTTTATCCGGATCCCTCGCCATCAGGAAGAAAATCGGTTGGTTACCGATTTACAGCATTTGCCATGCACACATACAGTACCGTAAAAGCCCGTGTATAGGCCCCTTGCGTATAAAATAGCAGCCTCAATTTCCTGGGCGTATACAAGGGCACGGGCGTTATTTTGGAACCGGGCGTATACTTGGAATAGGGATAGCCGTAAGTATTGGGTATCAGTACCTGTACATGTACTGGTGTTTCCGGCGTACCTGGGCGCATACATGGGCATGGGCGCTATTTTGAAACAAAAGTGTTGACTTCCCCTGACTGGGCGTGTACACGGAGGGTGGGCGCAATTTCGAGTGGGCGTACACAGGGGCTTTTACGGTATGTGTACTCGATTATCCGGTTCCCCCGCCTATCCGGATATTTGTGTGGAAAACGGATGTGTGCGGAGAAGTGAGGTCTGACTGTGCTTGGTTTACGTGCCAACCTACAAGATATGGTTTGTTCCATACGCAAACAGTTGGCGACAACGGGTCAATGTTGTATGGTTTCAAACTGGGCCAGGGACAATGGTACTCTATATCACGGAATTCGCTTTGTGTGAGTGCGCTATACATGGAGTCAACTGTATGCAGATTGCACTCCAGACACACAAGAATTGGAACTCCAGCAGAGGTCAGATTGCGTGGAACAGCTGCTGTGAGAACAAAACCACGGTAACGTTAGCGGAGGGCATTGCACGAGTGAGAGGAAGACAGCGATGGGTTGAACGTGCACGATGACACCAGATTCAGATGAGACTGACCGTGTTCTGGCTGGTGGGCTTGTGGTACTTGATGGTGGCAAAGCGAGCCAGCCCGTCCTTGTACACGTAGATACGGAGCGGGTCGCATGATGTTACCAGCACGTAGACACGCATGTCAAACTTGTAGCCGTCCACCAGAAATGGCTGAACACAATGCATGCAGAGCAGACACCCGGAGAAATACAGAAAGAGATAGAAATTTTTTTTAATTTTGTTTCTGAAGAAGTGCTGGTCTGAATCTGCCCCCCCCCCCCCCCCCCCCCCAGCTTTGGTCACATGAAAAACGGGAAACTAGAATAAAGCAACGGTTAGGTAGATAGAGGAAAGGAGACTGGGAGAATGAGAGAGAGAGAGAATGAGAGAGGGAGAGAGAATGAGAGAGAGAGAATGGGAGAGGGAATGAGAGAGAGAGAGAGAGAGAGAGAGAGAGAGAGAGAGAGAGAGAGAGAGAGATCGCTTACCCTGTCGATGTACAGCTGCACAACGCAGTCCAGGTCAGACTTGATATCCTACACACACAACACACACACGCAGCATGAAGACAAAATAGCCACGGATTCAACCAGGGACATCGTCTCTATGCTACCCAGAACATGGATGAGAAAGCAAACATACCGTAATTCACCTCGGAATACTCATAAAAATTTGCAAGGTGCCACCTCTTTCACAAATCGAAGTTATTCGTTTTGGAACTTCTTCATCTACAGCCAGAAGAGATTGAACATAAACTTCGCAATTCTCGAGCGCTTCAATTTGAGAACACCTTCCGTGAGAGCATACGCTTCACAAAAACCATTCACCAGCCTCAGTCGTGTGGAATGTCACCTTGAAAAGCAACAAACTAACATGGCCGCACCTCATGATCACTCTCTTCTCCGTTCTCTTAAAGCTGAACTTATTAGTTCCTGCACTTTCGCACTGCTCGTTATCTTGGTTACAGTGGTGGACCGTCACTTCAAAACTCGTGCCATTGTGCTCTTCTATTTTATTCTCTACGGACTATTCCTTGATTACCATACTTTCCGGAGTTATAAGCCACACTGGAGTATAAGCAGCACCCCCCCCCCCTTTTTTGGCCCCGAAATACAGACATCAACTCTATTTATCATCGTCAATTCGATCATCGGAGTATAAGCCGAGCCCCTATTCTTTTGAGTGAATTTTGAGGGTTCAAAGTGCGGCTTATGCTCCGGAAAATACGGCAGTTGTAGCCTTCACAGGTGAGAATTTCTCAGAAAAACCGACAAAACTTTGGAGATTGACTTACTTTGCTGTTGTTCGTTACAAATATGCCCTTGCCTTGCGAGCTGTTGTCCGGCTTAGCAATGTAGGACACGCCACGGTTCTTGCTTTTAGAGCTGAACGCAATGAAATCACCATAGCTACGGAAGATGGATGTCCACGTGCAGGGCCAATAGAGTGAGCAAAAGAGCAGCCGGGACAAATAAGATCAGATCAGTACAATGGGCGTTTCAATGTCACGATGACAACGGCGACAGTGCAATTACAGTGCACCCCACCCCATTCAGCATGCCCCCACCCAGACTCAGACGCACATAGACATACATACACAGACATACACTTCTGCTTGTTTACTCCAAAGCTGGTCATGTGGGTCTCCGGTAGAGGGGGGGGGGGGGGGGGAGAGACTCAAAAGGAATCTTGGACAGATGACTCAATTGGCTATTGAACCGCCCAACGACCAACACACCCTAAAATCCCCAAACTCCGTGTGGACTTGGAAATACACACGCATGCATGCGCGCACTCACGCACCGTTTGGACCGTTTGACTCCCATCGCCAGCAGGAGCCATAGCCATTTTTTCCGCACGCACTTACACACACACACACACACAGACAGACAGACAGACACACACACACACACACTCACTCAGCAGGCAGAGTCCACGACATCGGCGCTATGTTGTAGTCCTCTGGAAACTGTCGGTGCATGCGCATCATGTTCCTGGCCAGAAAGTCCTTGCGAGAGATCTCTGGAATGCCGGGGAAGTGGTTGATTTTCTGACACAGGGGAACAGAACACGGACACACACAAAAACGGCTTTCAGTTGGGAGCAGCTTTGAATCACACCCTTCTAAATAAGGATGGTGTATGTGTTGCTCCTTTCAAGCCGATGTGCTCTTTTGCTATGATCACATCACATTAGTCTACTACTCGAGCAGACGAGCACTGACTCTGAGGCACAAGCAGTAGTGCACTGTCATTGTTGAATGCTTGACGGACATCTCCTCTGGCAACAGTCACATCATTGCTCTGCTCAAACCGCTTGGAATTTACACAGGAAATGGTACTACCGTATCATTCTAGCCGCCTAGTTGACGAATTTCTCCCATCACAACACTCACATCATCGTGTTGCTCAAGCAGTGGATGTTTACACAGCTATTATTATTATTATTGTAATGGCCAGCTCCAAAGGTAACCCTTCCAAGAGAGAGAGAGAGAGAGAGAGAGAGAGAGAGAGAGAGAGAGAGAGAGAGAGAGAGAGAGAGAGAGAGAGAGAGAGAGAGAGAGAGAGAGAGAGAGAGAGAGAGAGAGAGAGAGAGAGAGAGAGAGAGAGAGAGAGAGAGAGAGAGAGAGAGAGAGAGAGAGAGAGAGAGAGAGAAGAAAGAGAGAGAGAGAGAGGAGAGAGAGAGAGAGAGAGAGAGAGAGAGAGAGAGAGAGAGAGAGAGAGAGAGAGAGAGTGAGTGAGAGAGAGAAGAGAGAAGAGAGAGAGAAAGAGAGAGAGAAGAGAGAGAGAAAGAGAGAGAGAGAAAGAGAGAGAGGGAGAGAGAGAGAAAAAGAGCTCTTAAAGTCCACCGTGTGGAGCTTATGTGTATGACATCATCCATTAGGCTTTGCCCAGAGTAGCAAACCGGTGTTCGTGATGTCGTTCCACACAAACACCTAAAATAATGACGTAACCACATAACATCTACAACATGGCTTCAGAACGGAGCAGCCAGAGAAGGAACCCATTTCGAGACAAAATACATGTTTACGTACACAGTGACGGGATGCCAACGAAATATACCACAGTACAAAATGAATGTCTGTCAACGTCAAACACCACAGTGCAAACAACAATATGCAGAGCTCCAGTAGGGAGAGAGTGCAGAAAGTTCGTAGAATTCCAACACACTCACTAGATAGTCTACACTAGTAGTAACCGCCTCCGCTCATACCTCGTTTATCCGGGCGGCTCGCGACCGGGCACTGCCCGTCACTCTGAGTCATATACGTTTTGATGGGGAAGGGCCAGAACTATGGCATGTATTGTGCCAGTAACTGTTCCCACTGAAAGTAACAAAAGAGTAGCAATATTTCCACTTGTCGAAAGGGTGCCCCGTGGACCGAAATGCCCGGAACTTCGTTGTTCGGATAAGCGAGGTATGAGTGAACCAGGGAAATCAGCAAGCAGCACACATAGTATAGGTAACACACACGTCTGTGTACCTGATACACACGCACGTCCATGACGCGGTCGACGGACACGGAAAGATCAGTCCAGTAGAGGTTCCAGTCGTCGGACTCGGCCACTGTCCGCAGACCATAGCGCTTGCACACCCTGCGCACTAGAAACAAGTGAGACAAAACGAGACGGGACCTTCTTCTTCTTTTTTTTTCTTTTTTCCCTTTTTCATATACGCAAAAAGTCATGATGTGTTCCGTGCCTTGTGTAATATGTTCCACATCCGAAATCTGAGGGGGGGGGGGGGAGAGGGCATGTAATACACGGAAATAGAGAACACGTCAGAGATACTCTTACTCACACCTTTAAAGGATTGAAAGGGAAAACGTCTCAAGGAGAAATGGACTCACACAACCAGGACTCAAATCAGGTACATGTGTTATAATAGGCCATCGATGCGCAAACACTCGGCCTTGGTAAAGCTCTCAACCAAGCAGAGACTGACTGTTCAGTGTTTACTTCAGACTTCTAACACAGTATCAATTTGAAGAATATTGACTGCAAATTGTTGTTGACATGCGGCATCGCAGAGTCTATTTTGCATTCGCCCTTGCCGGGCAGATCTACTGAAAACATTGGAAATGTATGAGTGTTTCAAGCACGCTTACCGCAATCGTACTTGCAAGCCGTTAGACATGCAGAGAGTTGCTTTCTGTCAGAATGGGACATGAATAAAAACGCATGTACAAATACCCACTGAGTGAACTTCAACAGTGGCCAATTGTGAATTCCAGAGAGTCATCTAGAGAGACGACCCAAGCAAGTGGATATAGAAATTTGGTTTTCTCTTCACTGACAACAAGTCACACTCTCCTTTGGACCAGAACTGATCGTTAGAGACAATAATCATGCATAATCATGGCTGGTCAAGGCTTTAATGGCATCAGCAGATCAGGGCAGAGATTGTAGCTCAGCGGCGAGCTGCATGGATAACTCTCATTCCATAGAACTCTCCGACGGGGCTGAAGTATGTTCTCAAGCATGTCAGGCGGTAATGATGGCTGAATCTTGCCCTTGCCTGCAGCCCTCTGGGCTACGGCCCTTGGGCTGCAGGCAAGGGCAAGATTCAGCCATCATGGCAGGCAGAGCGTGCTTGATTTGATTTCTTACAGCATGAAGCAACAAATTAGGAAAGGTCAAAGGTCGAATTATTCCCGAAATGAGTTCAAATGGTCCCGACGGCCTGATTATGCCCCCGGCGGGAAGACCGCCTACTGGCCATGGCCCCCGCAATGATCACGTGTCATGTAAGAAATGCACATCGCTTCCACCACTATGGCCTCTCGAGATTATAAAAATTCCTACGGCATTCATAAAATTTCCCCGAAATGTAGCCGACTGGTTTGGTTCATGACAGCATCACAAAATCCAAAGTAACATCGATGCAATGTCTATGTCACATGTGCAGTCGACGCAAGCGAAATCTACCTCACAGAATATATAGAAGAGTGTCGATGATTCGCACGCACGGATTCCTTTCCAGGGTGTTCTGACGGGGAATATATTCGGATACGGGAGTGGGCAAACTACCATTTTAAACATACACAGTCCCTCACGCTTTCATCATTTCCCGTGCTCTTTGGCATAATGCCATACCAATTAGGCTCATTCCAGCTCATCGAAATGACACTTGGTGATGCATGTCGACAACAATACATCCTATTCGCTACATTTAATGATTCTTCGGATAGGGAAAACCAGCAAAACTAATCAATTTTTTTGAAATCTGAATTGCCCGCACGTAGCCCGCAACACCCTGATCCCTGTTTGTGCGTCTTCGATTTCGCGTTTCATGACCTTGCTTGTATGCGTCGTGTCGGCAGAGCCGGAACTGGCTTGCACAATCGTGTACGTTCACTGTATGCGCTGTGTCTGCAGAACTGGTCGCCGTGTGAAGTGTCATGCCGCGCATCGTAGAACCATAGGATATTGAGATCATGAGCACGTACCGTCATGTGCATGGGCTGTAACCAGCCGTGTAACCAGTTCTGCAAACAGTTCTGTGACCTGATGTGTGACCTGATCTGTTGCAAAACAAGCACTAGACTACCGTACTCACTTGATTAGAAACCCCTCTCGAATAATAGCCCCTCTCGAGTAATAGCCCCCCTACAAGGACTGTTTGAAAAAATACAAGCCCCTCTCGAATAGAAGCCCGGACTACTATTCGCAAAGCATGGGGTGACCAGGTAGTGCAACGTATGAAGGTCAAGTCTGCAAAAAACATCTCGTGCATGTTCCTATTGGTACAAGTCCTTGTCGATGTAGTGTGTGCAAACTAACTCGGGGCCGAGTTGCTGTGAATATGAACGTTTTAGAGATTCGATTGGAATACCAGTATGGAATGAAACAATAAACGCCCCTCTCGAATACAAGCCCCTCTTGAATAGAAGCCTTCTCGAAATTGGTATTGAAAAAATAGTAGCCACCGGCTTCTAATCGAGTGAGTACGGTATTCAGCCAACGCCATTCTTATACTTTACATGCATGCAATTGAATTTCATAACATTTGGAACATGTGTACAATCATGTACTATCAGGAGACCCCCCGATAGGCTATGCCTTTGGAAAATCCTTTAAAATAACAAATAAATACTAATCAAATTTAAGTTTCGACCTATAATTCAAAATAATTTGTGGGGAATTTATATCGTCCCTGTCAAGTACCTCTGTTTGCTTGGTTTTGGGTCGATAGACTCGCTGCTCTCACACTTGTCCTTGACCACTTCGTGGCGCTCAGCTGCCGCTGCATCTCCAGCGCTCGCTGCCACGTCCGCTGTAGCCTTCCTGCGGCGCGCTGACGACTTGAAAGCGCTCGGATCGACCGGGATGACGCTCAGCTGCGCCATTCAAATCACTCTGCTATGTTCAGTTATGTACAGTGCACTCACTCAGCTGTCGTGGAAGGACCTCCGTGCAGCACGACAAGCGCTCGTAGTAAAAACTCTGTGAGCTCGGATGCCGAGTAGATCTACTCGTGACGGTTAGCAGACGCATTGTGCTGGACCAGAATTCAACTAACAATCATCCACATGCTCACGACGATCGACGGCGCAAGGTTTGACAGAGGATTATTATACTAACTATAGCCTAGGCATAGCATGAAAGATCTCACTTGGATAGACCGGTACGAGTAGAACGACCTCTGTATACGTCGTCGTTCACGGTTTTAGCGTTTATTTATTTTATTTTCAGTTCTACCTAGTTCAAGTAGTACAGACTCAGTCTTGTTGTTGTAGCTGTCAGCTTGAGCTTCTTTCGTTTATTTTTTTGATACAATCTACCAGCGTTGATCGAGAGAGAAAATCACCATGACACGGCCGTAGCCAGGTAGCTGCAGAGATAAGAATGATTAGATGGTTCGGCATGGTGTTGAATGGACCTGAAATAAAACAAATGCAACCTGGTTGCATTTGTTCGGTCATTCCCGAATGGGCATGGAATGACAATGATGACGTCGCGTCGGTACCCATCGCGGAATCGGAATGAGCGTAGGCTAGCAAACAAACGCGCTGGCATGGATTCGAGAATCTGGCAAAAGTTTTGCGCCACTCTGGAAACGTATTACCTGTTGTTTGCACACATATAGCAGCCTTGCGAAGACTACTACTGTAAATATACAAATTTTCGGCAGCTATTTAATTTCGGCTATATTCGGCACCAACCCAAAACGCCTAAATTAAAACGCCGATGAAATTTTTCACAGCATCTGTCGCACTATACCATGCCTGCCCTCTACCCCACGCCGAAAATAAATCGCCGCCGAAATGTCAAAAATCGTGAAGTGCCGAAATTTTGCAGCGCCTTTTTTTTTTTTTTATACGAAAGAAAGGGTTTGCTCCCCACACCAGACACCACTACTTCGTACTTTTATACGAAAGTCCACTATATATTCCCGAATATGTGCGAGAAGTGGTGGCGGGGCCAGGCTGCTCTGCCGACCTCAAAGGTCTCGGCGTCTACGCAGACAAAGCGCGCCATAATGCAGTAAAACCATGTAGAGAGGAGGAAGAGGGGAAATGGATAAAAGTTAGAAACAAGGACAATGGGTAGATGGTCGTGAGAGAAGCAGAGTGAAAGATAACGTCACATTGTGGTAAGGGGGGGGAGGGGGAGGGTGCTAGTGAGGCACTGGTCTAAACGGTAAACCGTTTCATAGGGCGTCGGTGGCTGCTTGCCAGTTCAGGTGCAGCAGATATTTTGTATACAATGTAATATAATTTACAGTACATTGTAGTATTACTGCCAGTCCTGGCAGTTGCTATGCTTCCGTAAGTTTCTGCATGTCCCTATTGACAGTCATGATGAAGGAGCGGCCAAACACGGCGTAGATCAACGAGCGATCGTAACTAGGCTGTCCCCGAGGAAAATTGCGATTCCGCGGCCGCGTTTTTCCGATTTTTAAAAGACCGCGTTTTCCGCTATTTTCCCGCGTTTTTTGAACATTTTTGTTGCACTACACGTACACACAGTGCGCTGTTCGGTCAGCAACGTCTCATCTTGGCGGCTTTTTACTTAAATATGACGAGTGCTTACACCAGAGACTTGTAACTGATTGATTTCACTACATACCCACTGAAAATTGCCGCACATCAATATTATTCACCGCATATTTACCGCATATTTACCGCAAATTCACCGCAAATTATGCCATATTATGCCGCGTTTTCCCCGCGTTTTTTGCGATTTTTTTCCGCAATTTTCCCCGGGGACAGACTAGGGTGCCTGCAGGCGGCGTTTGGCCGCTACTTCATCAATACGACCTCGTAATCGTATCAGTCACAGAAACGTCTCGAGCTCTCGTGTTTATTTGCCAGAGACGAGGCACTGTTGTAAGAAGAAGTGAAGTGGCAGGCTCGGTGCCTCTTTGGGTCACTTTGTTCTGGCGCCGCTCACCTCCCTGTGATTCTAGAGCAGTAGAGACTCTGCTCGACGACGATGAAGAGCTGAGGTGCGAGGGCATATTTCCAGTTCATCAACGATCCCGGGCGAACATTTCTCAGGCAGCGAAGGGTCAAAATACCACGAACAAGTTACTATGCCGTCCCCGAGGTTACAGTACCTGGACGATGTCCGCCAACATTTCTGTATATCGATAATCAGATAATCGCGTTTGAAGTTTTGTTGGGGAGGTATGCAGCAGCGACGAACTTCACGAAGCCCCTCCGCACATTTTCATTCCGCTCGGAATGAGACCTCATTCCACTTTTTCTTAGGAATCGCCAGAATCGATTCTGCCCCCTTCATTCCGCGACCGGAATCGGAATTGCACCGAACAAACGCTGTCCAGTGCATCAAACAAACGCTCCGGAATCAAAACACGGCGGAATGACTTTGGAATGGTGGCGGAATGGCACCGAACAAACGCAAAGGTTGCGTTTGTTGAACTGAGCCTGAGCCGGCTGAGGCCAGTACGACGAGGGTGGGTGTAGAACTGTAGATCTACAGACTACACTGCACCAAATCTACAAATAATGACTGGGCCATCCAGAATTAATTCGTTGTTTCGGGTCACCCGACCGACCGTCTTTTTTCACCCGACCGCAAAATGTTTTTTTTTTATAGTGCATGCAAATGTATATGTACAGACTACACTATGTACACACGCGACCCTAATAATAGCAGTCCAGATATCGACCTCAGAAGCAGCCATGGCTAGCCAAATGACAGGATGCAGCGCTTGGTGACGACGTTGTCTTCTATCTCCGATCCGCAATCGGTCCTGAAACAGGATCAGCTCCGCCACCTTGTCGCTATTTACAGAAGTTTTCAAGATGAGAGCTGCTCGTCAGACTCGTTTGCCAGCGAGGCCAAGATCTGGTCCTGGATCTGGAGGGGACCTGGATCTGATGGGACAATGACTGCACTGGATTGTCTACACTACAGTAAGATTTGATCGACTGGCTAGATGGACAAAAGCTATTCGATGTCTACATGTATGCACATGGATGTAAACCAAAATAAAAAATAAAATAAAATAAAAAATAAACCCGACCGACCGACCCTGGTACGGATGAGTGAAGTGACCCGAAACAACGAATTAATTCTAGGTGGCCCTATGTAAGCATGTTATTCAGTGGTCATGGCAACAATTACGTCAAATCAGATCGACCAACTCGACGTACACGTACATGTACATGTACATACATGTAATACCATGAATATTACCGGTGTACATGACTGTACAATCATGGTACTTCGAAGTACATGTAGGCTACATCATACTAGTACAATCATTATGACATTGTAGCTACACGTAACGTTGTTAAAGGGGAAGTATACCCTAAAATCAAATTTTCACCAGTTGTAGTCTTCGGGGTGCTGAGTCGAATGGTCTTGGTCCGAGGAAGCTGAGACGCTCCCTTCCTACTTGAATCCCAATCGAACTCGCGCACTTCCACCGAAACTGGGTGACTGCGCCCTACTAGATGGGGATTTGTATGCAAAATGTCACTAAAAGCGCCATTTCGTTCTTATAAAAGCACGGATGACCGCGGTTGGCCCATATGTTGTAGTCTTTTGGACGCTGAGTCGACTGGTTTTGGTCCGAAAAGGCTGCGAAGCAGCGTTCCTCCTTTATTCCCAATCGAACATGGTTGAACAAGCGGTCACGTGCTCCTGCGTACACCAGTCAGCTGGTCACCGTGCCTGCAGGGTACAACTTACTAGCCTGTTTGACCTTTTTTGGGTGCAGTCCTGTCACTCGAGTTGAACCTTGGTGTGAAAGTTGTCGCCTGCTGGCGCGGTGACCAGGTGATTTGGGCAACAAGGACCACGTGACCGCTTCTTCAACCATGTTCGATTGGGAATAAAGGAGGAACGCTGCATCGCAGCCTTTTCGGACCAAAACCAGTCGACTCAGCGTCCAAAAGACTACAACATATGGGCCAATCGCGGTCATCCGTGCTTTTATAAGAACGAAATGGCGCTTTTAGTGACATTTTGCATACAAATCCCCATCTAGTAGGGCGCAGTCACCCAGTTTCGGTGGAAGTGCGCGAGTTCGATTGGGATTCAAGTAGGAAGGAAGCGTCGCAGCTTCCTCGGACCAAGACCATTCGACTCAGCACCCCGAAGACTACAACTGGTGAAAATTTGATTTTAGGGTATACTTCCCCTTTAAGGGTTTCCACAAAATTCAAGAAAAAAATCTCAAAATTCAAATTCAAAATTCAAAATGTATTAGGCAAATTTCAATGATAAAATTCAAAAAAATCGCAAAATAAAAAAATTCAGCCAATCACTCTGGTTGCGCCGAAACTTCTGGATATCACCATGGCAACACCATGGTAACGCAAAATGGTGGCCGGAGAAAAATGGTTGTGGTCAAACTTCTGTCAATCTGCTTTCCAGTTCTGGTGATTTTTATTATTATTTTTTTTGATCCAAGGTTTCTCCACACAGGTCGATGGGACGATGGCATCCAACAGCTTACTGGAAACCCAAAACCAACCATGCAAGTGGGTAATGTATGGCAAAATTCAACAAAAGGGACTCAAAATTCATAAAAAAATCAAAAAATCAAAAAATCGCCAAAATTCAGAAAATATTCAGAAATTTTTGTGGAAACCCCTAAACGTTGTTAGTTACATAACAACAAGTGTCCTTGTTTCATGCTGTCAAACCAACAAGTAATTATTAGTTACAGTACTTGTTGGTTTGACAGCATGAAACAAGGACACCATGTTCGGAAACAGTGACTATTCCACCTAGAATTTATTCGTTGTTTCGGGTCACTTCATGAACTCATCCGTACCAGGGTCGGTCGGTCGGGTTTTTTTATTTTTTTATTTTGGTTACGTCCATGTACATGTACATCAGGGAGTCGTAAATCGAATAGCTTTTGTCCATCTAGCCAGTCGATCAAATCTGACTGTGTAGTGTAGACAATCCAGCGCAGTCATTGTCCCATCAGATCCAAGTCCCCTCCAGGACCAGATCTTGGCCTCGCTGGCAAACGAGTCTGACGAGCAGCTCTCATCTTGAAAACTTCTGTAAATAGTAGGGCTGAAACGATCATCCATTTAGCCCAATCGATTACTCTTTATCATAACGATCGATTATTCGATTATACATGTAATCTTTAGAGGGGAAGTAAGGCAAAAATTAAAATTTCACCAGTTGTAGTCTTCGGGGTGCTGAGTCGAATGGTCTTGGTGACCGTGATTGGCCT